CTTTTTAGCGTACTCTGTCGTATTGGTTCCCAGGTGGAAGCGAACTCCTCATCGCGAGGGTATCAGATCTATGATACTCTAATGGTTTGATGTATATTTGTTTTCGTGGATACTCCGTACTGTTTCCTAGCTGTTTACTACTCCGTACTCTGTACATCCTCCTTTACTAGCTCCGGAATATGGGACTACCGGGCAACGACTCCATCAGGATATTATTTCCACGTGAAAGTCTTCTGGGGTTTTGGGGGAGATCTACTGGAATATCCGATCTGCTATGTATTTCTCCCCCTGTCCTCTTTTCCATTCGCCACTGCGATTGCAGCACGTTCCAAGAGTCCAAGCACACACGGGAAAGGTCTCCTGAGGTTCAGCCAAGAGTGTATTTGTTTTTTATTTCCCGCTCATTTCCTGAGATTAGTATCCGACAGTCTGGGAAGACTGACACAAGGGGAAACTCCTCCACAGGGGGCAAGAGAAAGAGAAAAAAAAAAAAATCAGAACGGCAAGCCGGACCGTTCCCAGACCCACCGCCATAGACCGCCTCGATCGGCGGGGAGCATTTCTGTTTCTTGTTCTTTTTCCTTCTCTCTTCACAGCTTAGCGTCAGCCCATACCGCTTACAGGGCTAGTTCAAGCTCAAGGGGCTGTTCTCCTGAGAGTAAGCCAGATTAACGAGATTACCTCCAAGTGGGTTGGCCGTTGTAAGCTGCTCCACATCTTGGGAAGGAATTATGTCTCCACTGTCAATGCAGACGTTCGGTATCTGCGCAAATCCCGAATTGCCCGGAGAATCACCGTGATCGTCTTGGAAAAAAAAACTTCCGAATACGTCGGGCAATATGGAGTACTCGTTATAACTTATGAAGCATATTATGCATCATTCATGGAAGTACGGAGTACGGAATACTCTGTCCCATGAGTCGAACTAATTCCCGACGATCTGACTTATTTCGCGCGGAAAACAGACCCGTGTCAGATCTCCCTGCGCTAAGCATGAAAGGTTTCCTGAACAGCAAAGCCACTAACCTACCTCTGCATATCTCTACGAGCTCCGATCGACAGTGCACAATTCAAATGGTCGCCGACCACTCACGCCCGAGGAGATTGGACAACTTGCCGTATACTCAGCCACGGCGAGGAAATGAGAAAATGGCTTGGATTAATTAAGATCCGCTGGTGGAGACGAAAGAGTGGAGGCGACTATCCCTCCAGGTTTCCATGGCTCCATTCGCTCCATTTTTTAGCATATCAGTCCTATTAATTATAGTATCAACCTCGGTCATTGCGATATCTTTTTTTTTTCCTTTCTTTTTTTCTTTTTGGAGCGTTCGGGCTCCTCTTTCATTTGGCCTGTGCTGTTGCTGACGACTACTTTCGTGTACGAGGTCCAATGGGCCCCAGAGTACGGAATAGCAAAAGGCTATGAGATCGGTCAAGAGATTGGCTCATTTCTGGGTGAGATTGATGCGCGTATCTTGGTTATCGGGGTCTGCTGGAAGCGAACAAACATATCTATTTTCAGCAGATCGCCCTTTCCCTATGCCCCATTGAGTATATCCCACTAATCGGGGTCCCCCAGCAAAAAAATCGGCATCACAGGGCTGGTTTACACCTCATACCGTTTGGGAACGAGTACGACTGGCCCCTCGGTGATCTCTCGGGAAGAATACTTAGGCCATTTTTAAGAGACTGTACCCATGTGCACATATCACATAGTTTCCACGGAGTATGCCCCGTGTTAATAGTGCAGCTAGCTAGGTCTTTGGGGGAATTGATCTACAGTGGGCGCCCGTTCGCTATACTCCGTACGAAGTAGTCGATTGGCAAGCACAAACACACTCCGCATTATACTCCGTACTCCGTACCAAAATACATGCATGCCGTCTGCATTGCAAATCCCATGCACAGAAATCCTTCCGATCTCGATTTTCGACCCCGTCGGCTCCGATGCATCTCCGTCGCTCCTCGGGCAATTCTGGATTGTATGAAGCGGGAGACCATCAGGATTTTTTTTACTTTGGTGTTGCTCAGTGCTGCGCGGAATATCGGCAAGGCTGGTAGGTGGGAATATTCCAACCCCCAAAGCCCCCCAAATCAGCCCAAGGTTCTGACTTCGTCAGCCACCCGGTATATTTTCCCCAGGTTTATGTGATATGTCTAGTCCGATGCTCCCGAAGTCGATTGGATAGATATGCTCCAGGTCCACGCCTAGGCGTGACATGCCATAAGGAGTATAGAACGGCTGGTTTGGTTAAAAATGAACATGCGCATGTGTACTTTTGCATTTACCTGACTCGTAATGGCAGGGATTGTTCCAAATCATTGCTGCGCGCCCGATATATATAACCGAAAAAAGCAACGTCACTATACAGAATCACTACGTACTCCGTATATGTATAAGGAAAGCCAAAAACACACATGTATACTTTCCCTAGATGTTTCTTTGTTTGAATTCTCGAGTCCAGGGTCCAATCATGGCTTTATGCAGGCCGCAGACGCTTGTCTCGTTTCAGCGTTGGTGCTCATGCACCTAAGACTTTTGACGTATGCATTAGCAACCCGCCTGGGCCATTTGATATATTTCCATCCGGGCGAATAAGATGTGCCGTCTGGTTCGATAGAGTTTCGGTGACACAGGAGGTACCATTAAAGGTAAAACAGGAGCCGGCGGTGATTGGATGCTTTTGAATCTGACACCTGCGAGGTTCCGATGAAGAAAACCCATTCTTGGCATTCCTGATGCCTTCTCTTTATGGATTTGTTTTTTGTTTTTTTGTTTTTATTTTATTCCATCTCTTGTTCGCCCTTCCAGAACGTCCAAAGCATACAAAAGTACGGAATACTCTGTACAAAATCGTAAATGCACAAAAAGCTTGCCGCTTGGATCTCTTGAACCTATCCAATGGCTTCATGGTATCCACCCTGATTCCCAACTTCAGACCTCCGAATGGAACCGAAACAGAACTGGTTCGTTCTTGGTCGCAGCGTAATCACAATGCGAAAGCGGAGCCCAATTCTTGTTTTTTTTCTCTCTCTCTTTTTTTAATTCCGGTTTTGCCCCCCTCTTCCCTTGGGTAGGTTCGACCGAGTGTCTCAAGGCTATTTTTATCGTTTCAAGGGGAAATGAGACCGAAGGGACTAGCGAAAGAAAAGTAATCCACGCAATGAGATTCAATCGACAAGCAGCAGCCGAAGGATCGGGAATCGTGAAATAACCCGCTGCGACTATCGAGGGACACTGGCCTGGGCCCCCGCAGATCTTATGCCCTAACGGTTCAAAGGGGGACTGACGTGAAAACGGTGGTTCTGACAGGTTCTGACAGGGTCTTCACAGTGGAGAGAGGGTGGGCCAACACACAAAAATCAATCCACTGTGCCTCGATAATTCGCTACTTACGATCCTCGTAATTTGATTCCCCGGCACTGACCATGGACCGGTCTACGCAGTACGTGTCCCATAGATGCTCATTTCCAGCGAAGTTTCCGTGCTTAGGATGGAAGGTTGATATTGTGAACACAACGGACCCGAGATACCACCCTCTCCCCTGAGGTGGTCTGAGATGGCTAACCCCAAGACAGCCAGGGCGCCGGGGATCTGGATTGACGGTCAGTCTAACCGTAAGTGTTATGCTGACTCCAGTCCCTCCTAGTGCGAATCGGGGTTTGGCATCGTACGATATCGCCTCCAGAGTCAATAGTACCGATATGATGTATGTACAATTCGACTCGGTACGATGCTGTATGCCCACCGCGATGTGTTGCAAGTTCTTTAATCTTGTCTCGAAAAAAAAGTGCCCCCCCCTTCGAACGCACAAACCTCAAATTTGAGTGGCAGGTTAACCCCCGATCCACAAAGAGAAAGACAATCGTGGGCCACTGACCCCTCTCGCCAATCACTGCTGTTCCTGCCACCTGATCCATGCGCACCCTCTGTTATCCCATACGCAGGCTGTTGCCAAATCCCGGCCTTGGCTCCGGGCCCTACAGCCGTACCCTCGTACCCTTCTTGTCTCGCCGGGTCCTCGGTCCAATGGCAGGGGCCGCGTGGCTGGAGACAATACGCACTAGACTCTAGGGCTAGACGGCATAGCAGCCCGTCCCTTTAGGCTGGTTGCAGGCGGCAATGCAATGCAGCTTGCCGGATGGAGTACTCCGTACATCGCTGCGGGATAAATAATAGCCAAGTCTTGGTTCCAGTAGTGAGGGTCCATATGGAGTAGTCAAGGCAACTGAACTATGAAGCTTGGACAGTGTCAATAGGTATGTCATATTCGGAGAAATGTGAGTCGAGTCCTACAGCAACGTCGAGGCTGTGGCATGTATCAGGTATCGAATATGACACTATGCTCAACAGATCAACATGGGGGGGGGGGTTTTTTGGGCAGATCTATGCTTATCCAGGTAGAAACACTCATCCTGGTTTTGGTACATGCCTCTTGTTCTTGGCCTCATGCACATGGTTTGTTCCTGGTTTGTCCCATGCCGTACATTCTTTAACAAATGGCTGCATACGATGACCGGTACTCAGTACAGATTGTTTGCTCATGTGCCTTGCTTCTCATTATCTTTTGATCACAGTACATGGTGTCCTAAATGTTAATCTCCATGTGGATATTACGAGTTCTTTCCTCCTGGATCAGGGCTTCCCTTGGCAGTATGTATGTGACTGATTCCATGTACGGAGTGGTCGTCGTCATATCATTGAGATAGTTCAAAAACAACTTGTTTCAAGAGAAACTAGTTCAGAAACACCTGATATATCTCTCGAGTCGTTATAATCCTGTTTCTCACCGCCATTCTCACTCTAGAATGCTCGTCGCCCAACAACCGGATATAGTCTCTTGATACACCGCTTTATTCTGCCACTTTATTCTGCGACCGCCTTGGAGGTCTGTGCACCGAGCTTGGCACATCCCCACTTGAGCTTCCAGTCCAATCCCCTCCCACCCATTCTCTCCTTCGTGTTATTTCATATGTTTCTTCGTCGTTTGTTGAGCACCATGCCGCCTCTTGAGGTCATCTCATTGGCAGAAATCCCCTCCGTAGCGGCTCTTTATCGCCAAAGGCTGATTGACGCAGGTGATGCAACCGCTGCGAGTGTTACGCCCTCTCAAGCTATCAATAACACAGTCTCGATTATCAGATATGACATCACCAAGCTCAAGGTCGATTGCATCGTGAATGCTGCGAACCAGTCCTTACTCGGTGGAGGTGGTGTAGACGGTGCAATTCATCGTGCAGCTGGTCCTGAACTACTGGAGGAATGTCGCGAACTTGATGGGTGTGAGACCGCCGAGGCCAAGGTCACATCTGCTTACGATTTGCCATGCAAGTATGTCATCCATACAGTCGGCCCCGTCTTTGAACGGGAAGATTCTCCCGCTGAACTTCTTCGATCTTGCTATCGACACTCCTTGGAAGAAGCTATCAAGAAAGAAGCAAAGTCTATCGCCTTTCCGGCCATTAGTACGGGTATCTACGGTTACCCAAGCCGGGATGCCGCTGCAGAGGCCATGGATGAAGTGCGAAAGTTCCTTGCTGGACCCGGTCAGGGACGTTTTGAGCGCGTGATTTTCACCAACTTTGAGCAGAAAGATGTTGCTGCTTATTCCAGGCTCGTTTCGTAAGATTGTCCCATTGCTCTCATTGCATCTTCACATACTGACAATCTCCATAGGAAGTACTTCCCTCCTACCGAAGAGGACCTAGTGGACACTTGAATCGTCAACGCTAGCTACACATTGCGTTTCGTGATGTGTACGCAATGGATACAAGCCGATATGATAGCCCTGGACGGTAACGAATCACGAAGCCCATACGAACTCTACGAAGCACGATATTAGTTTATGTACTGCCAAAATATCTTTTTGGCGAGGTCCCAATCTTGAAGATTCCCTCGGAAGCCGTTGGGAGTTCAAGTATCATTCTTCGCACCAGTAAAATGAGACGAAGGAAACAAGTCTCTCTGATAATAATTACATAGAGATATAGCTCTTACGGGTTATTAAACAACTCTATATACACATATGTACCTGCACCCATGTAAATACCTCGATCGCATTTGGACTATCACCGGGTGGCATGAGAGAAGTGCAAACAGTGCAAACCTCTATCAAATCGCAATCGTTTCTCCAGCTTCATATTATCTCAACTCCAATTCCAATCCTCCCTCCCGATATCAATCCTGCATAATGAAACCAGCCTATCCAAACTGAACACTCCATCCCCAATACAATTGACCACACCCCACAACTCCGCCAATCCCACCAACTCCCGACCTCCAACCCCAAAAAATGTCCAACCCTCACAGGTCAAGAGGAACGCCAACACCCAATCCGCGATTCCGAGTCCAACCCCAACAAGATCTAAGGCGCAAAATCTCAGAACCGCCCCAAGCCACCGCAGGACCAGCCCTCCTCAAACCAAAACCCCGACCCTTCTTCTCCCTCTTCAGCGTCCTCCGCCAACGCTTCTCCGCCCTCCCATCCCCAGTCCGCCGCGCATGCGGCACCCTCCGCTGGCTAGCACCCATCATCCCAATCGGCCTCTTCTTCCCCGAACATGTCATGCAAGTGATGTGGGTGCGCGGGCCCTCAATGACCCCCTACCTGAACGAAGACTACGCCCAAACCCAAACCCAGAGCGACATGGTGCTGGTCAGCATGTGGCCCTGGGGATCTATCATCCCCTTCCAGAAAGAGCGCAAGCTGGAGCGCGGAATGATTGTCACCTTCCGGTTTGTTTCTTCTTCCTGGTAGTCCGGCTGTTATGCTGACTTGTTTACAGTTCTCCGGCGAATCCCTCGCATATCGCTATCAAGCGCATTATCGGCTTGCCGGGTGATCGCATTACGACTCGGGAGCCGTGCGTTCGTCGCACCCAGATCGTGCCTTGGAATCATGTTTGGTTGGAAGGTGATGCGGAAGATCCGAGGAAGACGCTTGATAGTAATACCTACGGCCCGGTGAGTTTGAGTTTGGTTACTGGCCGGGTATTTGCGGTGTTGGGTCCGCGCATGCGTTGGTTGGATTGGATGGATTGGGAATCTAAGAAGGAGGCTGGGGCGAATGAGACTGCGGTTGATGTACACAGGCAGAGTGTGCGGGATCGTGTTTTGAAGAATGCGGTTAAGCTTGAGCAGCCGTTTTTGAACTGATGGCCTTATAGAGAGCGGTGTTGGGTGGTTATGACTTTTGCATTTGTTGATAGAGCTGGGGATTCCTGTGTCCGGCGGTGTGGACTAGGACTTGTACATATATTAGGAACTTACTTTGGATATCATTGTATTACTATTTCAAGTAATAATTACTTTGCTATGTCTATGCTTATGCAGGTGGGAGAATAGTGCTCGAAAGAAACCCCGAAAATAAAGACTGCAAGTGGCTATATACCAAGCAAGAGACGAATTACGAATGCCCGAGAAATGCAAGCAACGCCGGCAATGATGTGATTACAGAGAAACAAGCCGTATATCTTCTTGTTTCTCTTCCTGAAGACGGTCGATTTCCGAGGAGATGCTCATCACCCACCGGTCCTTTTCCACACGACTGCGGGCTTTGAACACAATCGTGCGACCATGTTTGCCCAGTGTGGACACATGGCGTAAGGACCGTTTTGCTTTGCCTTCCTCCCCAATTTCCTGGGCGCGGAAGTAGCTCTTACTCAACGGTTGCCAGATCACGAAGGTGATAGCGGTATCTTCGTCGCGACTTGTGAAGGTGTTTGAGTGGAGATATACCCGTGGCAGGGCATGAAGACCGGGGTTGTTGCTGTCAAATGTCTGGTTGGCGTAGAGCAAATCGTTCTCGGTGATCAAACCAGAGTAAATATAGCAATCTTCCAGATCGATCGTCGTTTCATGTTCTTGATGGATATGTGGTATCTCGGTGCCGTTTCGTCTGCGGAGAGTGCTTCGGAAAATTAACAGCTTGCCTGTTGTGAGCACGACGTGGCATTTGTTGAATAAGGCGCGGCGACGGGGTTTGCGATACAGCTGGCCGGACATCTGATGAACATTGTTAGTAGGCTTGTTTGGAGGTGTTATGGTGTGATGACACCTACCTTGATAGTCCGACAACCGGACAGGAAACACATGTTGTGCAAGTGTGGAGATGCCTCAGCCTTCTGTACTTCCCACTTCTTTGCAAACTGCCCGACAACAGATTCCATGGCTTCATCAATGTCCAACAGCTTGAGATTGCGTCGCTGTACTGTCTGAAGCTCTCTTGCATCATCTGTGCAACGCGTGTGCCAGTACTTCACCAAGACATCGAGTCGTTTCACCCACTCATCTCGCGTGATGGTATCATATGCCTGAAGCCGGATGACCAGACCATTATCCAAAAGCATTTCAAACGTCCTGCCATCATCGAACTCTTGTGTTGCGCCATCATCTTGCCGTGAGTCTTGGGGTTCACGATTGAAGTCCACCGCAGGTCCCTCCCCTAGATTAGGGTCGGCAGGGGAGCTGCCACGATGGATATTGCGGACTTCTTGCACCCGGCACATATCGATATATCCATCTGACTGGCTGATGTTGTGTACATTCCTCTGTACGTGCGCATAGGCCTCTTGATCGTGGCGTTTGACAAATTCCTTATTGCCGCTAGAGAGCCAAGTAATCTCGCCATTTTCAAGGGGGTAAGGATTGATATCCCAGAAAAGCGGCATCTGATCCAAGAGTTCACGGGCTGTTGGCACGCTGCCGTCCTCTGCGGGAGGACACTTTGGTGGTGCTGGGGGTAATGCCTTTGCTGGTCGACAGAAAAACAAGTAGTGGTCTTGAGTAAAGAAATACAGCCGTTTGAAGAACATTTTGTTCATCCGCTGGTGTGTACCCCTTTGAGATGTGAGACGGACTAAAAATCCTTCAATCGGTGGAGGCTCCTCTTGCTTTATGCCTCGCTGTTTAATTTCAGTAGAGTAGTGATGCCTTGGTCGTAACTCAAGGTCGTGGGATGATTGCATCGCAATCGTCCCATACATCTTCTCTTCGTTGACACCAAACACCCATTCAAGTCGGTCGTATCGCTTCCAAGCAAGCCCCATCTTTTCGGTTTTGGACCAAGCCTTCAAGACCTCAGCCCACTCAACGCGGCTTTCGAGCATATTCATGCATCCTCGGATGATGGTTGCAGCAGCATATCTATCATCTGCCGGTCGGTCCAAATCTGCTGCTGCTTGCTCATTATCGGAACTATATGCTTTTGGGCCTGTCGGAGGCTGCTTAAAAGGATTTTTAAAAACAAGGGAGACTCCCAAATCAGGAACATTGATAGGAAGTGAGGTGGGACGCCTCCATCCAAGCACCTGGCGAATGAAAGTGTACCATTCGGTAGAGTGAGCTCCAGACTTAGGGCGGAGGATGAAGATCTTGGTCCCGTGCCTGCAGGGATACCAAATAACGATGGTCTTGTCGAGGGGAGAATATAGATTAACATGGGTAGTCTTGTGGTTGAGCTGTACTTCGTAATAAGGTGGCGTTTTGCTATTCGGTCGTTGCACATCAGGAATCACACGGGTACGGTACATCTGGATAGAAAATGGTGTATGTTCCGCAGAGCTTTTGCGGCATACAACAAGGAATTCCCTCCATTTGTCCACAGTACGTGTCTCCATACGCAAACTGTCATTCTCGGAGTAGTCGGGAGGAAGTGTGTCTTGCACAGACTCCTCCATGCAGACTAGCATTTTTTCCGCTTTGACGATCTCTCCGTCTTGCACTTTTCGTCGGTGCGGTCGATTGGCAGAGATAGTATCTTGGGTCTTTGCAATGCGGGAACGCACCTTTTGCTGCTTATGTCTGATGTTGTCATCTAGGTTAAATTTTGCCATCTTCCTAGTGATTCTGTGTTGTGGTTGCGCATCTCCGCTTGTTTCGTCTTGTGTATCATCCTCATCTTGGGGGTCGTGGTATTGGAGCGTTGCTCGAGATACGCCAGATGACTTGCTTTTCTGCTTCCCCTTGTCTTTGTAATTGGTTCGAAGCAATTGTGTTGTCGAGTCTGTCTCGCTTGGGGCGGGTGGATTAGGAGTAAGTGGGTTGGGAGAAGCACGACCGGTCAAATTCGAGTTATGAGAGGCCGGCGACTTTGGGCGTATATCGGGCGGCTCCGATCTGTTGGCTTGCACAGTGAGCATTGACAGTCCCGTGTCTGCAGAGCTGGCGGCCTCTTCTCTGGCTGTGACAAATGAAGACGAAGCGATATCGTTGTCATACATGTCGTCTCGATTCCATGTCCTAGCTCTGGGGGTGCTGTCTGTGTCTTCTGAGCTTTCCTCTCTGTTGTCATTTCCTCTATCATTCCCGTTATCCTCGCCAGCCTCTGTAGCCTCTACTAATAAAGAATCGTCGCCGCTGGCCTCGGCTTCGGGGTGTGTTAGGGTCCGGAGTTCGCTCACAGGTTCTGCTGCGGCCGCTTCTTGTAATTCTGTTTCAACCTCATTGTAATGCTCCTCAGCCTCCGCGATACTTGTGTTCGTCTGCGTCAGGGCGACTTCCTCGTCCAGGTCTGGTAACGGGGCATAGGGCTGATCGTTATGCTCGCTATAATGGGTCGCAACAGGGTTCGCAGAGAACGAGACAGAATGAGAAGTATAGTTTCGGAGTCGCAATCGAGTTTTATACCAGGATTTGCGGTGACCTTGCAGCCAACCTTCTGGAATCGGTCCAACGAAGAACCGCCGATTCGTCATATACAAATGGCTGGCAGAAGCATGCCGCTGTCAAGAAGGGTTGGGTCAGATTTATAACTCATACCCTGATTGATCGATACCTACCAGCTGCTGGTCCGTATATGAGTCAGTCGGCAAGCCATGATAATGTTCATGGTACGACGAGCGTGGGTCTCTTTCTGGCCGTGGCGACCCGTTGGCCTGGTCCGGTGGAGTGCTCATGGCAATCTAGTACCCGCGTGGACCAAAAGGGGATACGCCAAACATATGCGAGATTGACGAAAGCATAGAGATAAGCAATCTAGGAGCAGGCAATTGACCTAGGCGCGAACCATCCCTCCAAGTAGAGTTCTTAGTGCGATCGCCAATCTCGATGTAACATGATGCAATGACGTCGGTTGAAGCTTGAATCAGATATTGCAAATTATGCAAACAGTGCAAGCGATGCAAACCAATATTGACACTTAACCGTATTGGTACTGTTTGCAGTGTTTGTATTGTTGCCAGCTCCCGTGTGCCCCGCCCATTAGCTTGCGTGGCAGGAGCGGTGAAGTGGACAATATCCAACGGTCTCCTAATTAAGCTCTCCTTTCTTTCTCTCCCTAAATATTTCTGCTTCAATTCCTCTTACAAAATGGCTGCTATCCCCGCTGACGGAACATGGTTTGACACCCTCAAGAAGTCCTTCGCTGATGTCCCCATCGGTGCGGATGAGGGCATCTCAACCACCGAGTTCCTCGAGGCCGCTGAGTCCCTGGTGACTCTCTTTGGTACGACCCGACCCGCTGCATGACTCTTCTGCAAACTAATGCAGGAACCTCCTAGATGTCCTCGGCTCCGCTGCTTTCACTCCTGTCAAGAATGATCTCCTTGGCAACATCAAGGTCCGTCCCACATGTCCCACGATCGATGTCAACACATCCTAAACCTCCATGCAGAAAGTCCGCGAGCGTCAACAGGCAGCTCCTGCTGAGTCTGAGACCCTGCAGGCCCTTGTCCTCAACGAATTGAAGACCGGCAAGCACACTGCCACCGAAGGTCTGGTCTGGCTGGTCCGGTACGTTTAGATGCCCCCACTGCGGCGGAAGAGGCCAATTGTCATGCCACCACTTCCGTTTGCCCAAAGTGGCATGAGCAACTGACTAACAATCATCTTTCCCAATAGAGGCCTCGACTTTACCGTTCAAGCCCTCCGTCACAACATCGACAACGGCTCCGCCGAGCTATCGGACTCCTTCCGTGGAGCCTACGGCAACACTCTCAAGCCCCACCACTCCTTCTTTGTCAAGCCCATCTTCAGCGCTGCCATGAGTGCTACCCCATACCGCAAGGACTTCTACCCCAAGCTGGGTCAGGATCAGGCCAAGGTTTCTGCTTCCATGGCGAAGGAGGTTGCTGCTTTGGAGAAGGTCGTCGCTATCGTGAAGGCTTTCCAGGATACCAAGGCTGCTAAGTGGTAAACAGTTTGCCCTGGAGGCAAATCCACTTAATTATACCTGTGCACAGTACAGCTTGATATGTAAATATTCGATCTAGCGTCACTCAAGCATGCGATTTTGAATTATGTAGCGAATCCACCTCTGTTCTGGCCAAGGAATATGAGAAATGCTGCATCGGGAAGAGAGATCTGAGTGTCGGAATAATCATCAGGCAATATACTAGGTAGGTACCTACATATGTGAGTAGTTAGGTACACTATCAAGCGTATCATGTCTTGGATAAAGCTCTGAGCGTTCAAATAGCGACGGTCAAAGTATAAAAAGCAAATTTCACATGGAAGACGTTCGGCAACAAGCCAGTCTACTCAAGGGACCTGCATGAAGTCACATTAATATGGGGAACCATCTAAATAGAAACTTGGACCTCCCACACGAATCACACCTTCCCCCCCCTCACTCGGGGCTATTACCTTAAAGCAGGTACACCCGAGACCAATCTCGCAAGCGGCAAAGCCAACGCACAGGAGGTCCCAGCCTTGAGCGACCCCGGCCCCGAGGCTGCTACGCCGGATTACAAATTGTTCCAGCTCCACCAATCTCCAAGGCTGTGCATCTACCACGCTCATCGGACTGTACCTGAATGGAGGGAGTATCCCGTATGGACCCAGTCTTTCATTCAACTGGACAATTTAATCAGATCAATATATGCTGCATGGCCTACGGAGTACGGAGTACTCCAGATCAGATACCGAAATTAACTTCAACGGGTCAACCTTGGAATCCCCCAAGGTTCACAGGAATAGCCGAGCCACATCCACACGATCCATGGTTGTGGGCAATAGCCTCCAGAAGTGATGTAAAAGACCCACCGAGCTGATTTGTGGGATTGCCGGGATTATATCTAATCTCAATTCGCGAAAGATACGTGGACTGGGAGTTCGAATCATCGGAGACCCATACATTAGAGCCGCTGGGGCTCTAAGAGTATAAATCCTTCCGGAGTACAAATAATGTCTATCACATAGATACAAGTTCGGCAAATCGGGGAATTGTAAGGAGTAGTCCGGACAGGAGAACTTGGGCTCTAGAATTCTCCTAGGTGCGGGTTCACCCACACAGCCAGACCATAAACTTTTCGTCAAACACGAAACGGAAAATTGCCGGGTCGCATGTGGAGAGGCCACTGAGTCATCAGGTAATTTCCGGCAGTCCACCGTCAGACGGAGAAGTCCTGCAGATCATAGTTATCTTTGCGGACCACCCGGCTGATCGCGTGCTTTACATCAATACAGACTCCAGTCGCCCCCTGAAGGGGTTCGAGAATGGTGCACATCAAATCAGATCTCCATAACGATCGATACGAATCTCCAGATGAGTTCGGACCATCCGAGATATTCTTGGAAATGTTCGCCTTTTTGCCCATTTCGCCAGATATTACCCGTACCGTTCGTGGCACCGGTATTGCCGTGGACTTCCATGCCCAGGGCTGCTAATGGCCTGGGCTGGGAAATAGGAAAGCCGAACCTGGTTTGGGATAGATAAGTGCCATCCCCAGGTCACCCCGACGCCCCTGAGAACGATTTAGCTCGAGATTTGTACGATGGTCAGAAACGGCTGCCTTTTTAAGAATAGTTCCGGCACTAGCATCACCGTACGGAGCACCGTGTCGCATCACGGTAGCCTCGAGGGCTGGGATCTCTTTTTTTTTTCCCACGCAGGACTCCACTTCTTTGGAGTTGATTCGCAGCAATCGGGGGGGAAATCGAGGAAAGATTGAAGAAGTGAGCCATGGAGAGGTCTGTGCGGAGTTCCAATCCGTACTAGTGGAAAAGAGGCTTGAGCGGTGGCACCTCCAACCCATGGAACCCTCGTATTCCAAACGTGGGCTTCCACATGGCTCAGGCTATGCTCGGATGTGGTTGCACTTTTGGCTGGCCGATACCAGGGGACTGTCCTGCCGCTAGGAGATATCGGGTAATAGTCTTTCTTCTTTGCCTTTCTGGTTCCCCCACACATGAAACCTAGAACCAGGGCACGCCTGAGAACTCAGTGTTCCCTCGTTGCAGATGGCCGCTTCTTGCCCCAGCGTAGGTTATATCCGCTGGGCTGGGCTCAATCTTTTTGGTCCTTTTTTTCCGTGCCTTTTTTCACTCTTTTATTACTGGAAAACGCAAAATAGAATACCGAGAACACCACATCAGCCCCTCCCTCTTGGCACGTTCTCGCCACTGACACCTGTGATCGTAAATGCTTGGTCTTCCGTAGTGGGTGTTCTCCTCATTGTCTTTCTTCTCCCCTAAGTTGGTTCCTTTCGTGCCCCTTGGACAGACTTGGTGAGATATAAGGAGTATACGGGTCATGAATTGGTGACCCGTACAGATATCATTCTTCGGATTATGTTGCCCCTCGATGGTCGCAGCAAAACGATCTTCATCGTCACTACTATCTTCCTGGGCATCTCATTTATTTCGGTCTGTTTACGATGTTTCGTGCGGTTACGACTCGTCAAGGCTTTTGGCTGGGATGACTCCTTTATGGTGGGCGCAATGGTATGTATACTCCATTTTACACGCAACCGAATCAACCTCTAATAAATAGACGTGCAGTTGTTGAATATCTTATTCGCTATATGCGGTATCACCGGATCATTCTATGGCCTCGGTCAAAAGATGGTTGTACTTGTGGAGAGGGGTACATTGGAAACCGCAATGTTTGTACGTTGACCTCCCCTTACAATAGCCATTGTTGGAATGAGAATCACATGCTAATTTCCCCTCAGTGGTGGTGGCTCGGTCAAACCAGCTATGTCTGGACATGCGCGCTGGCCAAGATCTCCATCGCTCTCGCACTTCTCCGCTTGACGATTGCCAAACACCATAGATTTATTATTTGGGCCGTCATTGGCATCACTTGTGGTGTCGGTATTGTGTTCTGGTTTATGCTCACGCTGCAATGCCAGCCGGTTTCGTTCTTCTGGCAACGGGTGCGCCTCGAGTTCGACGAGAACACCACCGTTTCTGGAACTTGCATGGACCTTGACCATATCATCGCTATGGCCTATGTCTACAGTGTCACCGCTACACTCTGCGATTTCACTCTGGGTATTTTGCCTGGTTTCCTGGTGTGGAACTTGCAGATGAACATAAGGACCAAGTGTGCCCTGGCGGGCATTCTAGGATTGGGATGCATGTATGTTTTCCCCTTATTGATATCCTAAGCTAGGGACTCGGTATTGACCTGTTTGGATTTAGTGCAAGCTCAGCAGTCATTGTTCGCATTCCCTTTTTGCACGACTATAGAGACGATGACTTCCTATGTGAGTCCATTTACACTTTACATCCTGTTCGGTCGAGATGGAAACGAACCAACACTAACATCACCTACCACAACAGATGCAACTGCCAACATCTCCATCTGGTCCAATGTCGAAGCAGGCCTGGGAATCGCTGCAGGCAGTCTTGTCACCCTCCGACCCCTGTTCCGCTGGTTCCGCGACCCCAGCTCTCTGGGAGGAAGCAGAAGCAAAACCAAGCGCACCGGTGGCAGCGTGCCTCTTTCGAGTTTCAACGCAGGGCCATCCGGCGCATCCGGCCCGCATTACTGGCGACCAGACTTAGACGGAGGGGATTCTCCCACCGTGATTACGACAGTCCATACGTCGAATCACACAAGCCGAACGAGTAGTCAAGAAGACCTCAATCCGAAAAATGGCGGCACATTCTTCCAAGGAGTGAATGTGCAGAAAACATTTTATGTTTCGGAAGATCAAGCGTCATAGATTTAGCTTCTGGATGCTTATGTATGCTATAATGTATGAATGACATCTAATATTTTCATTTCCTCTTTCTCTTTCTCTGGATATATATATGGCGAACTCACCTAGGGCCGGATCCCATTCCAATCGCACAAATTAATAGAATCCGAACCCCACCTCTTCTCTTCCGACCTTGTGATGAATTGTCATAGCCCTGTGTATAGCCGCACACCATACATTCTACATACCCAAGGTTTAATACTAATCTTTAAAGCCGTCGGAGGACCGATATACACTATCTTGCATACGGTAAATTTCCCACCCCTGTCTATTATATGCGTAATCTATACTCCATATGCCATGCGTGCACTGTGGTTATAAATGGGGCTGCAGGATGCGCTAGACCCGCCACCATGCAAGGCTATATGTCAGATCTGCGACACATCGAAAACCTCAAAATGGAACTGGCCTTGTTTTGGGGCCGTATATTATTTTTTGCTTATAGGGCATCAAATCGATCGTGTCTTCAACAGCCCGGCCGGGCTAGCTCAATCGGTAGAGCGTAAGACTCTTAATCTTAAGGCTGCGGGTTCGACCCCCGCGTTCGGCTATTCCTAAAAACAAACCTGAAGATTTCTTTTTTGCCTTTCTTTTTTTTTATTTCAGGTCGAATAAGAGGAATTGTGGGATTCTGTGAGTTGTGAGCATGTTTTACATGTCTTTCATGTATAGATCAGACTTGGAGTTTCTTTGGTTGCAGCCTCATATGTACCAACAATCAAAGGGCTGAATCATGTCCGGTTTTTGAAACAAGTCATGTAAACGAACAAGTGATGTGGAGATTCTAGAATTCCTATATTGTTTGCTTCAAGTTTACTTCTTTTGCGGCAATGCGTATCAAGCTGATCGCTTTTGCGACTGTCGAGTTTCTATAATCAGGCGCCCATATAGTACGGATCCGAGACATCCCCTTTTTTGGAGCTATATCGTCTCGGCTGTGTGAGTGTGTCCTGGGAGACTATGTAGGTTACTCTATGATTGTGGGAATGTCCGGTGCACCTGGCCTCTTGGCTTTACCGGTACATGGCAAAGTGATTATACAAATAATAGAGAGTATGGAGTACATCAATATTGTAGTGTCATAATACCCTAGGAACGCCACCCGCCTTCCAGCACTTCCCCAACACCGATCTTTTCTTTGTCCCCCCACAAAGCCCACAAAGCAAAGCGATATATATTAGATCGAGTGGATACATGGCTAAACAATTGCCTTGTCATCATTGAGCCTCAATCCACCGACCTCCGAGTGGCAATGTTGATTGGCCCTCTTTTCTAAAGGAACCGAAATACATATAAGCCTAAAGCGCAGCTCTATTTGCCCAAAGAATAAGATATTAGGGCCCGTGAGGATATAGCAAGTTAAACTACATCTCCTCTTTCATCAGCCTGAAATATTCCTCAATGCAGCATTGGGAAAGTTATATCTCGTATCATACCACACTCTCTGAAATGGCCCCCGTTTATTAATTTCGTCAAAAAGGCCCTAAGCGCCGCCCCCAGTCGCATTCGAACGCATCCATCTACCACGCTAGCACCACAGCCCAATGAAAGCACTGCTTTGTGCAGTTTTTGTGCAGCCTAGGCGGCCCGAGACCCCAAGGGAGTAGGAAATGAACAGTGACTCAGACCTTGGCGGGTGATTGGAGATATTTCAGAGTACTCCGTAGCTAGCGTGCACTAGCAAGGTTGTCTCCCCCTAACGACTAAGCGAAATCTCATACCGGGGTAGCTTGAGGTGTTTTAATTTTTTTACTTAAGTCGTGTGATCCGCCCAGGTATTTCCCCGTCCTTCAATTCCCCCAGCTACACCTCAACTTCCCCAGCATTCGAAACATATCAAAATGCGCGCCTCTATCATCATCGCCGCAGTCATCGGCTCGCTCGGCGCCCAAGCCAAAGACTCCAGCTCCATCTTCGGATACTTCTCCCCCTCCTGGGAAGACAGTCAATTCACCGGTGGTTGGACCAGCACCGCTGCCAGTATTGCCGGTATCGATGCCAAGGCCACCACATACCACGTTGGCTGTGTGAAAGACGCCCCCAAATCACTCTGCAACTATGCCTCCTCGTGGACAATCATCCAAGGTCCCGAGACTGTCGACTTCAAGGCCAAATATATCGCTTCCTCTTCTGGCAAGGACAACAGCTACGATTTCACTATCACGGAAACATACGCTTGCTCGTTGAAGTCGTGGACCGAGTCTGCTAGCTGCAGCATGAGCATGAGCATTGGCGGCGAGCAGAATGGTGGATCGTCTGCTTCTTCGTCCTCGACTAAGACTACTTACACTACTGCGCCTAAGTCTGATATGTACTACCAGTTGACCGTTACTGGTGGGTTGGAATCGTTGGCTACCGCTACCGCTACTGCTACTGCTGATATTGCTGCGGGGGGACCTGCGGGTTCGTTGATTACTGCTGCTCCTTTGGTTGCGGCCGCTGTGGTTGCCATGCTGTGATTATCCTGTGGCTTAACGGCGAAAAGCGCTTGTAAGCGTGATATTTGGGTTGTTGATTATAAGATACCCTGATTGGATAAATCTTTACTTCTCTCGATGCTTGATTTTTATGGAGAATGACTTGTAAGACTTCATATACGCATTTGCTATGTATAATTTCGACTCGAGGGGCTTGTATGGTATGATGCGTCCGACGAAGCGCAGTAAGAGATCAAGTCCATTCTTATACTATGTAGTAAATTGATTGTTTAATAATCAAACTAGAGGTGGATTTCAAATGTTTCTGAGTAGGTTGAGCAAGAGTGTAATGATATTGGGAGCCGAGAGAAGGAGGACTAATTATCCACAACTATACCAGTGAATTCAATGATAGACAACTGGAATAAAACATGGCAATCGATGATATACATATAGCAAGGCCATTGACTGTATATACCCGGAAAAGAACCAACGCCCAATGCTATGCACATATCATTGTAAAGCAGAGTGCTCGAACGCCAGCGAAACAATCAAGACAAGAAAAAACACAGGAAGCAAGAGGGGCCAAGTGCATGTCGCACAGACCTAATTATCCTGTGCAGAAGCTTGTGTAAAAAGCGATGACAAGATAACCTCCATAGCCAAAGATTGTGTCAAGGGCTTGGATGCACATGGCCTGTGTAAACACCCTCGAAGTCGAGACCAGCGAGCATGCCGTTGACGCGATCAATCTCACGGCTGAGGTCTTCCACGTTCATCGCGAGGCTACTCACCTCGTCAAACTTGCGTCGCCGGTTGGCATCAGCGATCATTTCGGAAACGAAGAACTTCTGTTCTTCCAACACAATCAGCCGGTCTCGAAGAGTTTTTTCTTCTGCTTCCAGGGCTGAAACGGCGCTACTAGTGTCACTGGCCACACTAGTATTGCTGCCGTTAACGGCAATGCTATTGTACTTGATGGATGAAACGGCAGACTCCGGTGGCCGAAGACTTGCCACGGAGCCATTGGCTGGAGTAGCCGGGGAGCTTGTACGGCTGGGTACTCTGTCTGATGCAGGCGTTGCGTGTTTGAGAAGCTTAGGAAGTGACTTCAGAGGTAACATATGGAGGTGGAGAAAGTTGCTGGCTTTTTGATAAATGGCCTTCTGCAGCTTTTTCTGCGTAGGAGATTGGGTCGGCATGTCACGGATACGTCGAGCTGCAATATCGTATTGCGCAAAAGAATCGATGAGCCGCTTGCGGACCTTGGATGCATCTGCAATCTGGGCGGATGACGGAGGACGCCTCGGATCCCTGTTACAATGCCGTTAGTTACCAACATGAAGATTAGAGGGAATCGACTTACTGTAACGCTGCCAGCAGCTTTTGAAATCTCGGTAGATGAAGACGAATGCCTCTTTCAAACTGAGTCAGGTTCTCATAGGCCCTGATCTCTGCTGGTTTTCGTGCCATGTCTGCTTGGAAGTCGCGTCGATCAAATAGTGTGGATTTGCATTCCTTGCACAGTCTCACGTCAACGTTGACAAGGTTATCCCCATTGGTTTTCTCAGAGCTGGCTGTTGAATTTGTCAGAAAAGATCCAAAGCCCATCAAATATCATGTTCCAACTTACAAGGAGAAATGCTCAACCCAATCTCACTCGAGCACTCCGTACTAATGTCGCCACAGACAACTCTTCCACAAGTCCTGCAGTGATGTCTGCGAAACGTATAGCCCGAAAAATCCTGCTGGCAAAATGGACACCTCGACACACTAGCATCCTCTTGCCAACTGACGATCGTTTGCTCTATCTCTTTACGTTGATCACCCTGCCACGCAAGAGACCACAATTTGGTTGCACCGGGGTGTATTTGATCCAATGGCAGATTAGCCAACAGCTGGGTAAGACGTGTTAGTCGTTTCTCGAGTCTGGAAATCTCCAAAAACTCCTTATCGACAATCTGTTTTCTTATTGACTTGAACGAATCCATTTTGTTCCTCGTCGCCCCTATTTCTTGTTAGCTGGATTCACAACTAGGAAGCTAACATTCTCACCATTATGATCATTGTACCCCTCTCTTGACTTGTAGCAGGTTTCACATACTCGAGCCCAGATTCCTCGCACCGGTTCATGATGCGCCGCCCGTGAGAGCTTCATTTGGTACATCGTATGTTCCTCACAGAATAGTTTCCCGCAACTCCGGCAGTTCACGCAGCCATTGGTGGCATTCAATCGTTTCCCACATGATGGCTCCAGACATTCATCGTAGATAGAACTCGTTTGCCAGTGGTCTTTTGTAATGAGATCTTCGGGGTCTATTACTCTCGGAGGTTCGGGGATGCCTGCATGTGGGGCTAGCGAGCGGCTGGGGGTAGGCGCGCCTTGGTTCTCGTTTGATTCGAACACATCCAGACCCTTTAACTTCTGATTCAGGACCGCCAAAGGCTGGAACTTCCGGGCCTTTTCCATTTGAATCTTAAACCAATCTTTGACTTCATCTTGCCGGATTTCTTCCAGGTTCTGGTGTATGTCGTCGAGATGTCTGCATGAATCCGTTAATTATCCGTTCAGGCGGTCAGGACGGGGAACGATGGATCGGTACCTATTTAATTGAAGCAAAGTCATCTATTGGTAGTCAGCATTGTCTCGCTTGGGCTTTCAGGGCCAAAAAGGGCATGGAATCAAGCATACCATCTCCTCGCTGCAGATCGGACAGGAGAGCTGAGCTCCCGGAGCAGCCGGCGCCGCAGATATCGAAGTATCGCCATTTTCTATAGAAATGCGTGAAGTAAGATCCTGAATGTCCGTCGAGAACTGTGATGCGGACGTCTGCGAACTCAGGGAAACGCTGCTGGCGGTCGGCGAAAGCACCCTTGGCTTCGGCTGCGGGGACGGAGCTGATGCGAGAGCGTTCGGGTTGCCTAGAACACGACCTCCACCCAGCGTCCTCCGCGACATGATCATGGGGGCATGAGAAGCTGGAGTAGAAGCTGTTTCAGCACAACATTTGTTGGCTGTACAGAATAATGCTTGGAGACAGTTGAACGGAGGGGAACTGCCAGTTATGATGCGGTGGAGTCAGCCTTGCATGTTGATCGCCTGAGGCACATTTGCCAAGACAATCGCATATTAAGCAGATTGGGGCTGATAGAGAGATATTGTGTTGGGGAAGTAGTGTATTTATGCTCATTGATCTCATTCGGGGCATGAGCTTGAATGTGAAACCAATTAGTTACTACTGTTCCCATGTCTAAGACAAGAGCATCCTGAATTGTCCAGTTCGACCTACTATATATCACGGTACGGAGTCGTATACCTTGCCATACGAAAGAACAAAGAAAAGTTGAGATATATGGTCAATTTGATACCATTTATTATATACATTCTGTCTGATCTGAGTTGACCCCTACCTTTGTGATTTCACAACCAAATCAGATAAGTCGTGCGAAGCAAAAGCACAAAACAAGTGCAAGCAAACGCACAGATTAAACACGCCGTGCAAGCAAATGCACAGAGCTATATAGTCGCTAAAACAACAGACAGCAAACATGAACGTCAGATTTTTTTGAAACGTGTTGAACGTTTTTCAAGGCTTTGAATCTTTTTTTTTTGTGGCCATCGAACCACATTTTGCCATTTTCATGCTTTTTTTTGCGTTTGCGTTTCCAGTGATCTATACAGGTGTCGTGGTCTCATGCCGATTTATATACAAGCCTGGGTCCAGAACCCAACGCAAATCCTCCCAATTTCCAGGCTTTTTCGCTAGCGCTCGTAGTCGCGGTGGTAGCTGGTACCAGTATTGGGATTGTCGTATTCTCGGTGGACGCGAGTGGACCCGTCATCATATCGGTCAACGTCGCGGTGCCGATAGGTGCCGCTCTGGTCGACTCGCTCGCGGTGGTGTCGCCGCCCAGTAGGGGTGCGGTAATCGAGGTGTTGGTCGTAAGCACCGCTTTGGGGATCGTAAGATGTGGTGCCATAGCCCGAGTCGTAAGTGGAATCGTATGTTGTCGCAGCCGCATCGGTGCCGTAGCCCACTGCGCCATAGTCGGTTGCACCTACGGTGCTGTAGCCAGAAGGATTATATCTCGATCCTACTGTATCGTAGGCTGAGCCGGTGGTGTCGTAGGTATCGTAGGCCGTAGACCACTGATTTGACATTTTGATGTGTTCAGCGAAAAGCTGTTGGCGAAAAAGTATTCAAGGTAAACTTGTTATGTATTCTTTGAGTTGTTTGAAGATGTTAAGCACCGGGTCAGTTCGAATTCTTATATTTTTAACGTGGCGTCGAAGATCGCTATGATGATTCTGTCCTGACATCACTCATTAAGAATTCGCCAAGTGAGGCAATTCGACTGAATAGGACGAACCCTCAAGCCGAACCGGCTTATTTTTGGAAATACTTCTGATTGATCAAAAATTTCTGGGGCTTTGGTTCCAGAACGTTGCCTCAGAAGGCGGATGATGTTGCTTCATCTTTCTAAAGCATAGAGGTATAAATATCGACGAATGACCACTGGTTTCATGAAATCATAAGTACCAGTATCATTGAGATTCCGAAAGTTTCTAGAATAATGGCATGGACTTAGAATATCTCAGCCATGAACAGATTAGCCCAGACCATCCCCAGTGGGACTTGCGGGCTGCGACTCAGATTATGTCGTGCCTGGAATGAACAGACTTATTGGTCAGATTGAGACGCCAGCCTAATATAGAGCAACAAAGCTACTCGTCCTAGGTAGTTGATGAACTTGATTACTGGCATGGAGAAAATGCAGTAGGCGAGTCGATTGAAGAATAGCCATTAGGCACATTAAAGCGCTTTGAATTATACTACGTTTTACAATCCTCGCGTCGGTCCCACGAAGAATATCGACCCGTTTCCTACCTAGCCACAATGGCATTTAGCTATCCCGACCGAGAGGCGTCAATGAGTCCGACAGGAACTCAGTGGCGTTCATCAAGTCTGTGCTTCCATAGACAACTCGTCGGCGCTGTCCAGGTGCAGCGCGTTGAGCTGGCGCGCCTTCAGCACCCTGCTGGCCGTTTGTTCGGCGAACCCATTCCTGTAAGTTGCCATACTCATCCATGCTTCCACCGCCAACTGTAAAGACAATGGCCTCGCTGAAGGCCTGGCGACGTTGTCCGAAGCTGGCACCAGTGCCAGGGCCCACGCTACCCATACCACCAGGCACCTGTGGATTCCGCGATGCGGACGCCGGGGGCATGGCGCCACGTGCATTGGCACTTCTCGGGTCGAAGTATAGGTAATTCTCAGTCTTTGCAATAGCAGAGCTTGAAGCCGCAGTCGGGTCCATGATTGACTCCGTGATCTTGGTCACAGTAAGATCCTTATTCGTTGGTAGGAAGTTCTTCACGCCTGAGATAAGCGAGTCGAAATTGGCACCAAGGGCACCCGAAGTAATGCGATCCGTCAGGCGATTCGAAAGTGAGGAGAAGCCGCGGAATATATCAGAGGATTGTTGCTCTGGAGCGGCTGTGGTCATCATGGTCATACGAGTGATTTCGCGCACCTGGCGAACGTAGGCAAGAGGGGAAATATCGGGGACGCCGGCTTGGGCCAAGGCCTCTTCGAATTGAGTCATCTCTGTCCGGCTAAGTTCAATTTCAGTGCTGAGGAACCAGATCACAAACAAGCGCAGCTTGTCTAATGGTTCATTTCCTTTAGAAGGATCATTGATTAATTCCAAGATCTGTGATTTTGATTGTTTGGTGATGGTCTCCTCTAGCTCGAAGAAATTATCCAACTGCCGATCCTTGATCCCCTTGAGCAGTGCGGTCGCGATGTTCATGTGCATGTCAAGAACTGCCTTGCGTTCTCGCAGCTCAGGGAGGAGCGTGATAGCGGCTTTGAGGTGTTGCGCGGACGCGCTGGTATCATTCTGAAGATCTTCGATCGAGGAGGCACCCGTCTTCTTGGTAATTTCATTTGCATCCTCCTTGTACCGTGTAAGCTCAGCATCGATATCCTCCGCCACTTGGGGGAACGGGGCACCGGCATTGCGTTGCCAGAAGAAGTCGGTACTGTTCAAGTCGTATGTTTTTTTAGAGCTCTTCGCCGAATCTGCATCACCTGCACCGGCATCTAAAGTGATTCGGTTTAAGCGCATCTCAAGAACATCCTGGACTAGAGATTGGTACGTCCACGAGTGGGAGAGCATTGGGACTAGATCGACATTTCGATCCATAATGATCAGCACCGGCCGCGCAGACGGCACTCCCGGCAGAGCGCCTTGATTGCCTGAAAAGAGATTGTCTTTGGAATTGAGGATGTGATCTCGCAGTTTGCGGTCTAGCTTTGTTGCTATCAACTCTGCCGCACCACCTTTGGGGCACCGTATAATTGGAATAGTACCTGTCCAGTCAGTCAAGTCTTCGGCCAAAGATCCCGAGTAGAATATATTTACCCATTGTTACGCTCACACTGAATAGCCCGCTCACAACTTTGTCAACAATCGCATCTAAATCTTCATCAGTCGTCTTTGGGCTGTTGATCTTGTAGTATGCATCGTTTCCAAGCCCCAAGCTGAACAGGTCGGGCTCTGCCACAACAAAGTTGAGATATTGATCGAAAACCTGTGCAACATGTTCGGATGCACCTGATGTTACTATTTGAGAAGCGAAATCCTCAAGGAGTGGCCGAGGGACGGAAGATAGGAAATTCACATGGGCTGGGGAGTAGAGCCCACGGGAAAGGTCGCGAGTGATTGCTTGAATATTATCGGGAGTCGGTTCCACGAGATAAACAACCGGGACATCTGGAATAGGGTATCTTTGTGAATTGAGGTTTCTGGGGGTGGCTATTCGTTAGCAATGGGACCAGTTTAGGGGAAGGCGGGGACCGTACAGATGAATGGTTATGCCCCATGCTCGAAGATCGTTGACCCTCAGCACACTGCTAATGACATCCCGGCCCATTTTATCGAAGACCAGGACCTTCCAGATCGGGTCACCATCTTCATTCAAGATCGGAGTGGAGTGCGAGATAAGACCGCCGGACCCGGACTGGTCAATGGCATTATCTTCGGCAGGTTGTGGATCATGATTCAAGTTCAATAGCTTTTGGATTGATGCTAGAAGCCAGCGATCAGTAAGGTCAATCTATCTCAGGGAATCCAGCTTGCGTCACTTACCGACCTGTCGGTCCCGGAGAGACATTGGTTGCGCCATGTGCAATAGATGGCAGCGCTGTGTGAGATTGAAGCGATGCTCGGTTATCAACCAACCCTTGGCAACATATGAAGCTGCGTAGGAGTGAGTTGAAAAATGCGCCAAACTCTCGGTGTGATGAATGGGTGTACTTGGTACTGTTGACACCGGGGTCTCTTGCTATCGCTCCACCTGGCATCCCGCCCGCCCTGAGATGCGCTGACATAAGTGTGCAAACACTACAAACACAGAAGATCACATGGAACTGGATTCTGCCGCGATACACAGGGGTGTAATTTTATCTATCACCAGCCAATCAAATCATTCCATTACATAGATTACCCTCAATTGCTGTATGCCATAGTATCATCGGCTAACCGCCTTGCCAGCAGCTTTTGTCCCTTTTGCTCTCTTCTTCGACCCAAGTCATCGACTCTAACCATCCCTCAACACCTTTCCCCAATCCCTTCTTTTTTTCGTAAAGCGAATGGCTGTGACGCTAGAGTGGTCCTTCGTATGAGAGCCTTTCCCTTTACTGATTCCGCAAGGACTTTCTTCTGGGACAAAACTTAAGAACGAAAAAGGAGAGCGAAAAGCTTTGCTGGGACAACAGGAACGGTCCAAGAAGACAGAAGGGAGGATACAAAGTCAAGGACACAAGGAGAGACCCTGGAGCTGAAAATCTGGGCCATCTTACTATACTTCTACGTTGGATTCGCAACTGCGGAGCCTTCGTCATTAAGCTGCAAGGCCAAGGGCGACGCCATCACTCGCGTCACTCAGTACTGGGGAACAAGATTGATGCCTGAGGCACACAATCCTTTTAATCCAACTTGGAGCCGAAGCTAAAAACCGTCTTTTGCTTTTTCTTTGCTAAGGTACGACAGTACTCATACTGCAACTCTTGAAGTCCATGCTAGGCGTATCACCCATTTGAATTGTCTAATCCTTATCAATTATTCAGGCCGAAGCTCTACAGGCCCCTGTTCTGCCGCTCCGGTGACCCAGTCAACCAATCATCTCTCTCCTCACCGGAAAAATTATTGATCCCGCCGAGCTGAGCCCCACTTTTCTGTCACAAAGCCAGAAGGCGGTGAGAAACTGCCTAGATCCACCGGACGCACGTGATTACGTTGAATCTAAAGTAGCTAAGACTAAGAGGTGACTGAGGCGGTCATCATGGAGCAATCAGCTCAAAACCCCATGCAGGGTTTACCCCATGGGAACACCGCACTGCCTGCAGAATACTGGAGCACTCTTGATGCCGCCTATCCCGATCCTGAACAACACCTTCAGCATTCATCCCAACCTCAACCTCAACATCAACCTCAACAACAACACGATTCTGCATCTCAGCCAACACCCCTTGGTATTGGATGGGACCATCCTGTTTTTCAACAGCAACAAAGAGAGCTTGCACCGCGACCGGAACCAAACCATGGCATCTACTCGTCAATTCATCAGCCTTGGCAGCAAACAAACCCTCTGCAACAGCCACCGCAACGAGGGTATGGAGCTTCGCCCCAGTTTCAGATTCACCCGCAAGCTCCTCAATATCAACCAAGACAGATGCAATTTGACTCTCGCTCTTTAAGTGCATCCGATACCTCGCCATTCCCATCGTTTTCCTACCAGGCAAATTACTTCCATCCACAACACCAACACATGCCGGTTCCAGAGACTTTCCCCGAAGCCCCCACGCAACAAGGCTTGCAGCAACGGACCCAGCAACAACCGCAGGCTTCAATCTCTCCGTACCCTCTACCTCAAGGCTATTCTGCAGAAATGCTGGTAAGTCGCCCCTTCATGCTTCCCAAAGTAACCGTGATTCTAATTCTAGACAGCAAAACACGATCGATTTGACCAATGACTATCCTGATTCAGATCCCAGTGTCACGATCAACCCCCAGTTCTTAAACTCCACACCGCAGACTTTCAACCCACAGCAATCTTCCTTGGCAAACACCTTTATCCAGGGAATTCCTTCAGACTTCCAAAGACCAGGCACTGAACAGTAGGTTTCCACCCTGTTTCATTCTTTTGAAACGCAATGTCTCATTTTTTGCCTACAAAGAACTAGGCTATTCAATTACTACCAGCATGACCTCTCAGTACAACCACAAGCAACACCAACTGGCCATCGAACATTATCATCTACAGGTATGTTGAGGACATATAAAAGCAGTATTATTGCAATCTCACTAACTTCCGCTAGGTCTAATGATCCCGCAAGTTGTGATACAGACTCAAAAAGTTGCCCCTAAAAAGCAACAAATGAAGAAGATCGGCCCGAAGAAAACTACATCCAAATCAGAAAGTGAAAGTTCGGACGAATCTGATCTTGAAATTGAAGTGCCTGACGAACCGTCTCCTATCCCTCCGACCCGTCCGACTGAACCTGAGGCTGCGGCTCACTATGATACTCTGCAAGCTGTTTGGTCACCAAGAAATAAATGGCCTGGTCCTGAGAAGGTAAAGAATGCAATGGTAGCTTACAAAGATGTTGTCAAGGCATTGAGAGATGCCTGGAAGGAGCAAGTTCAAGCGATGAAACTGGCCGAAAATGAGGGCGACAGCAACAAGGAGGCAAAGCTCAAAGAGAAAGTCATCTTACAACGTCGCACCATGGACAAAATTGCGACCACAACTTTGGAAATGGGCCATCCCAATATCGTTGAGAAGTATGTTCCCCCTCCCCAGCCCTATAGTCCCCCCCCTTTGCCATATGGCGATGATGGCGATACAAAGCCTGAAGCTATGGAGAACACGTATAAATATTCTTGGAAGCATTGGTAATGCAGCGTTGCCACGGCTATAATAAAGAGCTACTGCTCTGTCTGCCGGTGACAAAGCTTGATTATATACGCGTGCTGGACACATTTACAAGAATTCCCATGAACCCAATGGAGCAAAAGAGTCCCTATCATAATGATTCCCAGATATGCCTTAGGAAGCTATCTCTGAAACTTACTGAAAGGGAAAACAATTCTGTCTAGAAATTGCCTCAAACATGCACCTTTGGTCTGTGGGAACACACTTGAACCTACTTCGTTTCGATATAATTGTTTTGCTCAAATGACTAATTGTTAATTTCTGTAGGCTGGGAGAGCATCCTATGGTTGTGGCAGCCCTATATTCTTTCTTGGTCGACCGTTTCCAGGCTGCTGATTTCGCCGGCACACTGACAATTAATCTGCTGAAGGTAAGTTTCTTGTTTGTTCTCCTTTGTGTTGGAAGAAGTACACTAACAAAGGATAAGCTGTTCTCGCATTTCTCGACATTGACAGAGGATATGATGCAAAAGACCAATCTTTCCAAGTTGCTGCCTAAGTTTCTCAAAAAAGGTGGACAGCAGGTCAAGGATCTTACCCAGAAGATTCTAGACAATGCCGCAGCCTCTACGAAGCGCAAGCAGGAGAATGAAAAGTCGGTCAAAGAAGAGCCTCTTGTAAAGGGTCCTTCAGCAACTCAGCCCAAGGGAGATGCTGGATTGAAGCGACCCCGTGAGGTAGAGGGTAATCTTCAACATGGGACCAAACGAATGGCGGTCACCACTGCCTTAAAGGATACGAGTAAAGTTGTACCTACAGGCAATGGGCCGGCGAAAGGAGCCCAGGCTACTAAGCCCTCTGGTGCTGCAGCCCTGCGCCCCAAGGCTACCATCGTGGCCCCCAAGCCAACAAGTCTCTTTGGAACTCTAAGCTCAGCGTCAAAGAGACCCGGAACCACAAATGCGGATAGAGCTGCCGCTGCCGCTGCCGCAAAGCCTAAGTATGTACTTCTCAAGAGAGTTTTTCCAATTATTCGTATTGACCCCTTGAACAGTGCTGCCCCAGAAAAGGAGAAGACACCAGCTCCGAAACCAACCTTTTCTTTTGGTGATCTCATGGCCGACTTGAACAAACCGAAGCAAGCCCCAAGCCCTAAGCCTACCGAAGATCAGCCACCTGAGACGGAAATGGAACGCAAAAAGCGATTACGCAAAGAAGAACGCCGTAAACTTCGTGTGACCTGGAAGGCAGATGATGCTCTTACCGAAATTCGACTGTTCACCCATGATCCCGATGAAGAATTGGGTCCTGGCGATGGGTCATTGCGTGGACTAGGAGACGTTAAAGGTGAAGGTAGTGTCCTCAAGCTTCACAAAGATTTGGACGAACTGGAAGAAGAAGATCTCGGTGTTATCCGCGAGACTGTATTCCAAGATGATTACACTATCTCAAGTAAGTTATTCGCCCATCTTAATCTGAATACCAATTGACAATCATAGTGATCGATTTCGGATTCGACGAACCGAAACACGGCAGTTTCGTCAAACGCGGTGGTCCTCAGCTGCCAACGAGTCCCGAACGGGAGGCCCAAGAACATCGGGAATCCACTACCCTTATGGTCTTCTATACTTCTCCTGCCGACATGCCTGACACACCCAAAGAGCCACCCACCCCTGATCCCGATGAGGTTGTTACCGACATCGTGCCTTTCGGAGAGTTGCCTGACAGCGTTAAGGTAAGTTATACTTCTGTAGTGTCAATACGCAGGACTAACAAGGATAACGCAGGCTCGTCAAGAACGATACTACTCCTACATCAACCCTAAGCCTGCCGCTCCCCAACAGACGCAGCAACCTACTCCCGGGGACAGTGGGTTCGACATCTCCAATCTGCTTAAGATCATCCAGGGTGTACCTGGACAGGCGCAGGCAGTCCCACCGCCGCAATCGACGCAACCCGCGGCAATGCCTGATCTCGAGAGGACGATCAACATGTTCCGTCAACAACCTCAGTCCCAGGCTCCCCCGCCTCCTCCGATCCCTACATCCCAGCCTCAAGGAATTGACTTCAATGCGATCTTGAACGTCATGAAGCACATGCAGACGCCGCCTGCTTTCCCCCAGCAATCGCAATCCCCAATGCCACCCAACCTAGGCGCCATGTTCGCGCCATTCGGTGCACACAATCCGCTTGTCGGTGCGCCGTTCCAGCAGCAAGGCTACGATTATGAAGACGCAGAGCGCAAACGAGGCCGCGATGGCGCTTATTATGACGACAACCCTAATTCTGAATGGAGCCGTTCCAAACGGACCAGAGTCGGCGCCAATGACCCCAAGCCTGTAAGTACACTGGCGAGTCTCGCATTCTATAATCCGCAGTTTAGCTAACTTTCTCGAAACAGTACAAGGTGGGACTTGTCGCCTGCAGATTCTGGGCTGAAGGCAAATGTCGCAAAGGCGACAACTGCACTTTCCGTCATGACCCTCTTTAAAGCCCAACCCAGACAATTCCTTTCCGACTAATACCCATAAACTGCCTTTCCTTGCAGTGGTATATCCCTTTCTTTTGCCTGTTCATCTATGCATTAATATCTTGATCCACGGTCTCTCTTCTTCCTTTATCTCACATCGGGTTATGGATCTGCATTTTACAGCTAGAAATCCTCTGGTTGGCGTTTATCGCATGGGCGCGTATGATGGTCTAGGAGATCAGCACATATTGGTTCATTCTTTTCTACAATCTCCTTGCATGCTCCCACGAGCATAGGCGTTTTCTTTGTTTTATTTCTACCGCCCAGCTTTTGTTTCTCGCTTTGCGAATTCATTTGGCGAGAGGTTTGCATATCTGGGGCGATGGATTTCATGGCGCATGGATCGAGGCAGAGTGCTGAAAATGTACAATTAGGATATCTTTTTTTTTTTTTTTTCCCAAAGCCAAGAATCAATCTTCAGTGCACTATTCCTCATCTCTGATAGTGGTGGCAGGCCAATGATAGAGGCCCATCAAACCCGCCAATATAGCAGTAGATGAAGCGCCGTGAAAGTAACGGGACCTATAAGCATGAAATCATCCCATTCCCTCCGAGCGGCCTGTACCTTTCCGGATTTTCTCCTCGCCCATTCGGATGAAGATCTAGTACATCTAGGGCACCAGGAGTTCCTGGGGGAAATTGATCGTTTGCAGCACGCATACTCCATCCGAGGTAGTCCCCTGGACCCAGGACGCTATCCTCCTGCTTAGTACCATCGCTAGCCCGGCTTCCAGACTAAAATGGAGATAGAGTCTTCCCAGCAATTCAACTCGGTGCGACGTTCAATTTTGGTCAACTGGCGTAGGCGGGAATTGACCCGGCTTGCCTGTCCGGTCTACTTCGCATGAAGGGCTACGACTGTCCGCAGTGAGTCTGTGTTGAGAGATCAGATGACCATGACTCCCAGTGTCTCCAGCACTGCATCTTTCCTTCTTCTTTTCCCCATCATCCACCATCTCGCAGCAGTAGTCAAACAATACCTTACTATATTGCTATTCTCTCCTTCTCTTCCTCGGGTATGACTTGATATTGATTCGATCGAGAGAATTCCCCTACACCTGATCACACCGAGAAACAGGAAATTCATTGATTCGTGTCTAGTTCACTAAACGATAACAGATATCATAAGTGCCAATTTATAAAGGAAATCATGTCATAACCATTCAGTGTTTCCAATCACTCCTACATGCTGGGCATGTGGCAACAGGAGCTGTTCCTAGCCATTGGTCGATGCATTGCTTGTGGAAATTGACTCCACAGCGAGCCTTGCACCAAACCAGCTCTTCAAGAGATTCATAATCATTCTTCTTATCGTCGTCATCGCCACTGTCGTCGCTTTCTTCTTCATCCCGGTCCTTGGCTTGCGAAGGATGGAAATCACACAAACAAATACCACATTCTCCTTCAATCTCACGGCGATTGAGCTGGGATGTTTCATCCCCACTGGCCATGCTACCCGTTCTACCAAATATGCGAGTCACAGTTGGTATGATCACTGGTCGTGGGCTCGAAATAGAAGCAGCGCTTGTTTGACGACTGGCTTGGGACAGGGCTGGTCGAGGTACGGTGCCTGCTGACTGATTGGTAGAAGATTCTGTCACATCCCTTCTCGATGATTCGCGAACGCGAGGTACTGGAGCATTTTCGCTCGATTCGCTTCCCCTGCCAGAATTGACGACTGCTCTTGTATTTCTACCCTCATCACGGCGAAGGTTCGCAGCGATCGGTGGGCTAGATTGAGCAGCCGTCAGTCGCCTGATGCCTCTCTTAGGCTCACATAGTTGTTGCTGAACAACGGCAATTCTCTCCTCCATATCCGCCTCGGCAGAGTCCGGCATCATTCGAGATGATGTTTTCACTGGCCGTGTATATGCGGGAGCAACCTGCGAATCGAGATATGCACTGACTTGTGTTTTCCAACGCTGTATGAGATCTGAAGCTTGGTTCTGGTGGAACCTAGTGCATAAAACATGTGGTGCAATATCTTCCAGCAGGTCATCGATGTTCCGAGCGGCTTGAAGTTCTTTGGTACCCTCGTTGAGTAGCATCAATGCCAAGCGGCGACCGTGCACATTTGTGCGGGCGTGATATCGATGGCCTTGTGAATGAGCGTAGCCGACACACCATGGCTCTTTCTCCGGCGCGAGTCCGATGATCTCAGATAAAGGAGCCGTGGGCGCAGTTGTGACATGGGAATATCGGGAAGGCATCATAGATTCATAGAATTTCGAGATGGTCGATTGAGATTTACTGCTGGGGGGAAGGGGTTCTATTTGATTACTTCGTGGCATCTGGAGCAGAAGTAGTTGTATTAATTGCGTCAGACTTGCACGTTGAGCCACGGAAGTATCCTAGTCTGGTCTGTCCCAATCGCGTGGCGCAGACCCCCAGAATAGAATCCAGACAGCACTAAAGCAGCCAAAGTATTGAATGAGAGATGTCCGAGGTCGGAAACCAATGAGCATCGACACAGAGGTTGGCTGAAGAGTCATCTTAGGGCTGTGCGGATGGGAAAAAAGTGATTATCCAGCCATTTGATAGCCTCGGACGTCTTCATAGGCGACTTTAGTCATGCGCAGGAATTAGCCTTAGCACTCTTTTCCTCATTGGCTAAATACGAGCCAACTGAGAGTCTACATCCAGGCACACCCGTGAAGGCCTAGACCATGCATCTAGAAGGCAGACAGATTTGCTATGCAATGGGCAATAGGCCGAACTATACGCACCTGTGCCTGTTAGGACCCAACAATATGGAAAGCCTATGGTTCACAGTATGCGAGCTAAAGGCTCAACTATCCAAGATAGTCAATTCTTACTATGAGAGTCCGGTTAAGTGGAACTCTGCATGTGGGTTGGGTGATGCCAGCAACACTCCGCAAGTCCTTGATGGGCCAGGTAGCATTACTGGCGTAGACCTCATCTCTTCCATACACATTCCGCCCCCGTTATTGAACGCGACGGGGCTGAAGGAGCCCAGCACATTTTGTGACAATCACCTCCCGAATACTCTGTACAAGGATCGGTGGTATAAGATACTGCGGTTCCGGGCTGTGAGGTCTAAACCCCCAATTCTCCAGCCTATATCTTCAAGACAATTCCTCGGAAGATGTGATGCAGTGAGATACTTTCTCAGACTGTGGGACCAGTAGAGGAACTCCTTGAGAATATCACTCGAAGAGACGGCAGACTACCTAGGTATACATGCCAGCGGCGCTGACGTTCAATCCAGAAAAAAATGGGTCTGGGTAATCAACCTTATATGCTGGGAGATCGGATGATTATAACTCCCAGTCTCTTCAGCACTGTCTACTAGATCGTTTATTATAACGCTATAGTTCTCGCTAAACTCTCTTATCTTGCCTTTTACCTACGAATCTTCGTGTCTAGGGAATTTCGCATCCTGATATAGGGGTGTATAGGGTATACGGGTGCCTACTAGCTTAGGAGTATGCTCTAAGTCTTTTTAATATATAGGCCTTTTACGAAGAACTGGAATCTATTATTACCCAGTTATTATACGAGTCAGAATATCGTATTCTCGATAATTAGCGCGTTTAATCTTATCACGGATATAATAATTATAGCGTTGCCGGTTCGCTTTATCTAGTAATTATAGATAACTATAGTAACTAAGATAGCCTTAGTTAGTATCTTTAGCTTAGGTATCTTATAAGTGTTACCTTTTATTATACCTCACTTTTAAATACTAATGTAAGTGTAGTATTTCGTCTATTACTATTATCCGAATCCGTGTTCTCATAATAGTTGATTTTAACGATCTTTCCTACTCTATGATTTAGGCTGCCTTCTAGAGTATTACCGAGCCCGCGCTTACTATTACAAACTCATACGCGCTAATACTCCGGCCTATCTATAAGGCTGCTTTCCTATCCCTATTTGGTAGTGCGAAGGATGCATACTCTACACAGCCGGCGAGTGGTCCTATACTAAGCAAAAGTACTAATTCGAGACGGATGAATGGTATAGATAAGATGGATAGTGAATATCCCCTTACACGATTGCACGGAGATATAAGGTCGGTAGATAAAGGATCTTTAAACGATTAATTATAAGATGATCGCTTATAGGATATATGTAGACTTCCGCACGCACCGGAATTAGGTCGAATATCCCGACCCGGCACCGGACCCAGGTTAGGTCCGGTGCCAAACCCCCCGACCCGGGCCCACACCGGACCTAACGTTAGGTTCACCGGATAACCTAATAAAAACCCAATTAGACCTAACTTTTGTGACGATCGTGGACAGGAAACTGAGTCACGTGATTTTGACTGTCGCAGAGTGGGTCCGAGGTTTGTGAAGTTTGCAACTCAAAGACTCTCCAAAACTCGGCGATAGTGAGTTTCCTTTCCTCTTTTCCTTTCTTTCTCTGTCTTAGTATTTTTCGTTAAATTACACTCTTTCATTAAAGATCTAGCTCGTAACATAATACTAAGACCACTCTTTAATTTCTTAAGACGGTATAGCTATACGGATTATTATTATAATTAATCCCGGCTCCGCCTTATCTCTACTTTCCGCCTTTTAGTACTAACCTTTAATCCCGATTAGATCCCGAACCCCGACTAAAAACTAGATCTACTTATTAAGATAGTAGGTACCTAACGAACCGAAGATCGTAGTAAGTAATAAGCTACTATAAATAACTCTAATAAAGAACCTAAAGAGGAGAATATTCCTTAACCGATAACCCCGATTAATAATACGATCTAACTTAAAGACACTAAAGAAGAGGAAGGTAATATTAGAGAAGGTTCCTTTATATATATATATCTATAGAGGACTCCTACTAAGGATCACTTTATAGAACTAGCGAGGGTATATAAATAACTTAAAAAGAAAGTTTCTTTCCTCTAAGCCGATAAGATTAACCTAAAGCTCCGCTTAGAATAAGTAATATAGAAATAAGATAAAGCTATTACTTATAGAGACCTTACTATCTATAAATAAAGAGACTTTATCTTTTATCTTATTAATATATAGTAGAGTATATTAACTATAGAGACTTCTACTTATAAGACTACTAAGATATCTAACGCTTTAATACTTAGTAATAGAAAGAAAGTCTAATTTAAGACTTAGGAAACTATTATCTATTAAAAACTAAAAGCTAATATAGATTATTATCCCTTACCTATCTACTATAAACTCTATATATAGAGTCGCTATAAAGGAAAGGCTTAGCTATATATTACTCCTTAGATAAATACTAACTCTATAAACCCTTATACTAATATAAATAATATAATTAACTATCTATAAAGCGTATTTATAAACCTAAATCGATAAGCGGAGGTATATACTATATACTATAAGCTTAAGATAAAGCCTAAGGAGAGTTTTATTAATTTCCTTATAGAATTTATATAGTTAGTAGAGGAAACTATTATTATAAAAGAAAATAAGAAGCGTAATTTATACTTAAAGCTTCCTTACCTTCTTTAAGGATAAGTTATATAGATAGTTAACTTAGATAATATACTATTTAAAACCTTTACTTAGTATTATTAAAGTATATTATATAAAATTAATTTATAATAGGAAGCTAAGTCGAACTAAACTAGAATTTTAACTACCGGAAGTAAAAATACTACGACTATTATAGCTACTTAGTCTTAGGGAACCTATATTAAGCGAAAATCGAGTACTATTATAACCGGATTAATAACCGCTACTAAGCGAGAGACGTTAATAAAGGAAGGATAATATTTCTATTATAAAAAGTAAGGATATATAACTCGTAAATATCTAAAAAAGAAGGTAAACCTAGCTATAACTACTATAAAGGTTATACCTATTACTAATAAGATCGAAGCTCTTAAATTAGATACTAACTAGGGAAAAGCTTATATTTAGGATAAGTCTCCCTCCTAAGCGGTAATACTATATTACTTTATTTATTAAATTTATAGAAGCTAATAAATAGTCTTAGGAATAATTTAGTTTTTAATATATAATTAATATATAATAAATAATCTTTTTATATTTCTACTCTAGATAATATAGGAGCTAATAGTTATATATTTATAAATAAAATAATAATCCTACTATTAGGTAAGTATTTTAGAATCTAAGTTAAATAGTTACTAAAGGAATATCTAGTAAAAGATTTTAATAGAAAACTTATAACGCCTATTATATATATTACCTTTCTCTCTTTTATCGTTAATAGGAGGGTTTTATATTAAGCCCTAATACTTATAGCTAATCTTAGATAGTATAATATAATTCTCGGGAGAATATAGTTCGTTATATATAATATCCTACTAGATTATAAGCGATATTAGATAATCTAGTCTAAAGAGAGATCTATCTTTAATAAAGTAGTAAGTAAGATTATAGTACTAATACTAAAGATTATCCTTTAGCCGGATAGGAACCTCGACTAAATTTATTAGATAGATATAGATCGGAGAGATAGATTACTCGATAAAGATATTAAAAAGAGAGCTACTAAATAGTCTACTTCCTAATTAGAGAGAAGGAAGGAACTAGAACTATTAGTATTAACTACTATTAATATTTATATAATTAGTAGATCTATATTTAATAGGTATAAAGTCCGACGATAAATAGGTATAAAGGATATCGAAATCTTTCTAACCTCTCTTAACGACTTAGATCGTACTTTTAATATAAAAAAGAAAGCTACTAGAATAGAGAAGGACGATAATCTTAAAATCTCTAAGATTCTCTAAAAACTACTAAAGGAGTACTATAATCTAGTATCTATATTTTCGAAGAGATAATCTAATAAACTTCCTTCCTATTGTCTAAGTATAGATTATAATATAATCCTAGAAGAAAAGGCTAGATCTAGATACTATCTACTTTATAAACTTTCTATTAAGGAATTATAAGTAGTAAAGAAATATATTATAGAAAATCTTAATAAAGGCTTTATTATATCTAGTTTATCTCTATATATATCTCTAATACTAATAGCGAAGAAACTTAGTAGAGGTTTATATTTCTATATAGACTTTAGGAAACTAAATAGTATTATAAAGAAAGACTATTACCTATTATCTCTAATTAATAAGATATTATAATAAATTAGTAAGATAAAGTTTTTTATAAAGCTTAATATCTAATAAAGGTTCTATTAGATCTATCTAACTCGAGCTACTAAGGAACTAATTATATTCCGAACTCGTTATAGATCTTTTAAATATAAGGTAATACCGTTTAGGTTAACTAATAGACCTATAACTTTTTAGAGGTTTATAAATAATATACTATATAAATATTTAGATAAATATACTATAGTATTTATTAATAATATTCTAATCTATAGTAAAAATCTTAAGAACTACCGGAAGTATATATAGGAGATATTAAATCGCCTCTAAAAAGTAGGACTTTAAGTAGTACTATATAAGTACGAGTTTAGAGTCTAGAAAACTAAGTTCTTAGGCTTTATTATTAGTATTAAAGGAATTAAAATTAATCTAGAAAAGATTAGCGTTATAAAAGACTAGAAAATCCCTACTACTATTAAAGGGATTTAGTCTTTCCTTAGTTTCTCTAATTTTTACCGAAGATTTATTCTAAAATATAGTAAGGTTATAAAGCCTCTTTACTATCTAACTAGATAAGATATTTAGTTTAAATAGATACCGCTATATAAAGAAGCTTTTAATAAACTAAAGAAGCTACTAATAACGGCTCTAATCTTATAGTACTATAATCTAGCGTAATCTACCTAAATCGAGACTAATACCTCTAATAATATCCTCGGAGGTATCTTAATATAATATTATAAAGATAGTTTCTAGTATTCTATTATCTTCTTCTTAAAGTTAATATAGTCCGCGGAATTTAACTATAAAGTATATAATAAAGAGTTACTTATAATTATATAAACCTTATAGGAGTAGCGCGTAGAGTTAGAAGGTCTTACTTAAGGGAATCGTTTCGGAATCCTTACGGACTATTAGTTCCTAGAGTATTTTATAATAGTAAGATATCTAAATTAATAATAGATTTAATAGAGTGAATTCCTCTCTTAATTCTATTTCGTAATTAAATATCGTCCTAAGAAGCGAAACGTTATCGCTAACGCTCTCTTAAGGAAGGATATACTATATAAAGATAGAAGTAAGTTCGTTATTCTACTTCCTTATAATTATCTTAAGGAAGATATCTATCTTACCTCGTTAGCGCTAATATAGATAGCTATAAAAGAGATCGTTAACTATATAAAATAAATAAACTATATAGATATAGATCTTAAAGAGTTAAGATAAAAGGTATAAAAAGGAGAGAATCTTTACTAGTAGTTAGAGGAAAGACTTTTACTATTTAATAATAAGTTAGAAGTACTTAATTAGGAGGATCTATATATTTAGTTATTAGATAAAGTCTATTACTAGTCTTTAGTCGCCTATCTAGGCGTTAAGAAGATAAAGAAGCTAGTCTCCGCTTATTATTATTAGTCTAGATAGGCTAATAATATATAATAATACGTAAATAACTATCTAATTTATAAAAAGATAAAGTTATAAAAGAATAAAATACCTAGACTTCTCTATCCTTTACCTATCCCTAATTAACTCTAGTAATATATTTTAATAGATTTTATTATTTCTAAAAGATTAATATAACTTTAATATAGTATTTATAGTCGTAGACTATCTAAGTAAACGACTAATCTTAATTTCTTATTATAAAAATATAAATATATAGTAGATAGCCTAACTCTTTATAGACTACGTTATTTATATTTTAGGAATACTAAAGACTATTATATTAGATTAAGATAGATAGTTTATCTCTAAGTTCTAGATAGAGTTCTATTAAATACTAAGAATTAAGAGAAAACTATTAACTATATACTATCCCTAAACTAATAGCTAGAGTAAGATTATAAATTAGTATATAGCTTAGTATTTTTATCTATATATAGAACTAAATTAAGATAATTAGTTAGAGGTTCTACCTATAATTAATTTTATAGTATCTATTCTACTATAAGATATTACTAAGAAATCTCTATTCTTTATAGAGAGGGGGTATAAGCCTATAATAACCTTTAACTAAAAAGATCCTAAGTATATCTCTACTAATAAACGAGGTATAGTAAATATACTTTTATAACTATAAGATATATAGTCCGAGACGAAGAAGTAGATTAATAAGTCCTAGAAACTCTAGATCTAATAAGTAAATAAATATCGTTAAGAAGAGGATTTTAGGGTAGAAGATCGAGTTTTTATTATAATAAAGGATTAGTTACCTAATAGACTAAGTTAGAAGTTATCTTACTTTATAAGTAGACTATATATAATTATAAAGAAAGTTAGGAATTTATATAAGTTAGATCTCCTAGGATCGATAAAGATATACCCTATTTTCTATCCTAATAAACTATATAAAGCGTCGAAAACTAAGCTATTATAAGGGTAATATAAAGATCTAATACTACCTATTACGATAAATAAAACTAACGAATAGGAAGTTAGTAAGATCTTAGATACTTATATATATTATAGGAAGCTTTAGTATTAGGTAGAGTAGGTAGGATATAATATAGACCTATAGTAGTATCTAGTAGGTAATCTAAAAAACGTACCGGAAAAGGTTAAGGAATTCTATAAAAAATATCCTATAAAGCCCGGACCCTTAGTACGTCTATACTACTAGATTAAAGCTATAGAAGGCGAGAAGTTATTATAGGATTATAAAGATAACGATAAGCTAGCATTTAGAGACTAAATGTAATTTAGATAGGGGAGTATATGACGATCGTGGATAGGAAACTGAGTCACGTGATTTTAACTATCGCAGAGTAGGTCCGAGGTTTGTGAAGTTTGTAACTTAAAGACTCTCTAAAACTCGGCGATAGTGAGTTTCCTTTCCTCTTTTCCTTTCTTTCTCTGTCTTAGTATTTTTCGTTGAATTGCACTCTTTCATTAAAGATCTGGCTCGTAACAACTTTTGCATAATTCTCTATATAAAGTGCCTTACTTATCTAAATTGACCACTATAATTTTTCCTTATTTTGGTCATATTAAGAAAGACTTTAATATTTAGTAGTATAGTAAGTTAAACTTAATAAAATATCCTTATTTATTAGTATTTAAGGTCTAGTAATATATTAATTACTTAATAGAATATAAAATTTCTTATAAAATAATGCTATAATTGGTAGGGTTAGAAAACTTATATGTTTAAGTGGTAGGAATATATATTTATAATATATAGTTCTAGTGTAGTCTTTCTAATACTAAAGAAATAATTAGAATAAGTAAATCCGTAAGGTACATCCGCCGTGTTCCCGCCTCTTCCCCGCAACCAATTATATTCAGACCTAACCATGAACACCAAACGAAAAGGTACTGAATGTGATGGCACACCCAAGAGAAAAACAACCCGTCATCGTGCTACCCTTGCATGCGAAGAGTGTCGAGCACGCAAGAGAAGATGCGATAGAGTTACGCCAGCATGCGGCGGCTACGTGAAGCGCATTACTGTTTGTATCTATGCTTCTAAAATTCAGGCTGAGGCGTGGCGGGATAGGTGGGTTCCATCGGAAAGAGGGTTGAGCAAGCAGCTTATTTTTCTCATAGTATGATACAAAATTTAAGGACTGGTTTGGAAGATCTTGAGAAAGGAGAGAAAACACCCACAGCATCTGAAAAGCATACTCTTTCCATTCATGCCACCCAGCGCGCAGATGATTGCAAGTATAACCCAGACCCCGGTAACATCTAACACACGCCACCTAGGAAAGACTTGGTGCCAGTACCCAGATGCCAATTCCCATTACAACACCGAGAATGGTGAGAGAGCTTGGTCCATGAATAGGAATAGCGTTGCTAGTAGATGTCGTAGATGTCGAGTTGTCGCAATGGAAATTGTCGGTCCCGCTCGTCAAACGACCCATCCTCTGGAGCTCAATGAAAGGTGTACAATCAAAAGCAGTAGAGTTGCGTGATGGAGTTACACTAAAATAGTTCAAGACAGAAGGAGCAGGTTGGCTGTTTGACGAGCCGTTTTGCTGGGCGACAAAGGCATCACTGTTCCTTGGGGTAAGTTTTCATGACCATTCCATGGCTGTAACTGAAGGAGCAATACGTACAAAAATCCATTCCCTACATTGACATTATTAAGAGCAATGGACGAGATATTCGTTGGCCAGTACCAAGTTTGAATGGTTTTGCCTTGCTTGTCGGAACCGTATGCCGAGCTCAGGTTTAGATCGGGGGCATTGGTGATGTAGAGTTCGAAGCCACCTGTCCAATTTACGGCACTGGGCGGGAGTGTGATACTTTTGAGAGGACGTGTCATCCATTCGTGACCGGCGTCTAGATAGCGGAGATCATCGAACGGAATGTCTAGTTCAGTGGTAGAAAGGTTGTATCCTAACACTAGAGTATCAACCCTCAGTGTCTGAACCTGTTTGCTACGCTTAAGCTCTGTAATATCACCAGAGAGTGTGAGTTCCCTGATTGTCATTTCTGTTGTCGAAGAGCCTCCTAGTGTGATAGAGGGAACAGTAGAGATTGAGAGCGCACTCGAAACTGTGAATCCAATGGCAACGTTTCTGATGTTTGGGAATGGGCCTTCAATCCTCGCATTGGTTATATTGATCGGATTATCAGTTAAACTATCGAGCGAGGCGATCTTCATCGGCTTAATATTCAGAATTGACGTGTTGCGCAGGCTTGTGTGCTGAAGCGTCTCAATATTTGGGGAACCCCCGAGAAATAGTGTGGAGAATCCAGGCTCGTGATGTCTAAGTAGGTGAGATCTAGCGCATCGTCCCCTATAGTAAGCATATAGACGGATGCGAGATTTGGAAAGGTGATGTTCGTTATTCGAGAGTAACTGGTTCCAAGTACGATTCTGTGAGCTTTCTTCAGAGATGAACTAGACAGCGTGTAATAGGGCTGGATCTGATATTCGCCCCAGTCCAAATTGGGTTCAGTGAGAAGGCCGTTGATCACTTCGACGCCGTCAAGATTGATGTGGTGAACCGAGACATTTCCAGAAAATGGACCGATAGTCACATCGCCAGTGATGTGTCGGCAGTTTTGACGAACTTCGTCAGCATCAGCCACGGAATTGATCTGAACCGAGCTGCAATTGACAGCGAGGACATCTGGTGACAACATAAGTCAACATAAGTCTAGGTGCTGGGAAAGGAGAAAGAAGCGAAGTTCAACTCACGAGAGCAGCATAGAGACGCGACTAGCAGTGCTGCGATAGCCGAAATCCGGGGAAAACCGAGCATATTGCAGATAGTGGAGCTGCCGGTGCCAAAATTATAGATCAGCGTAAAAAGCAACAGCACCACCTTGAGCGCATGGCCATATATAGGAACAAACTTCTAGCCCCTGAAAAAAGGTGGAAAACACGAGCGCCCTGTGAACTGCTTTAGTCTACATTGAACCTAGGTATATATCCCTAGGGCCAATAGAGAATAGTGTAAGATCACCTGATAGCCCCGTTTGGACCGTTTGCCAGGAGATCTGATTGGGGTAATAGTGCCCGAGCCCTTGGCAGCTTACTATGTCTTGGATTTGTGTTGCCTCTAACCCACTTTTACACAGTAATAGAAAAAACACCGTTTTTGACCCTTCCTGTTGACAACCCCTGGCCGCTATGCCCCTTCGCACTGGGGTGTTTTCGTCGAAGACAATGGACTCTTCAGAGTAGATTACAGATCCGATTACCTCTCCACGGCCCCAGAGAATTATCAAGTCTCTTTAACCACACGGCGGTTCCCAGTGCTGGTCGCAAGGAGCCATTGATATGCCCTGTACTTCGTATGTGAAACCATTGTTACAACAGTATTTTACTATAGATTACATCTCACCAGGGTCAAGTGACCTGAGAACATCTGTATCACACGGTTGTTGCATGAATTGATTGTGCCCACCGCAACCTGACCAAACGCTTGGACGTTTTAGACCGCTACTCCCAGGCGCCTACTCTCGAGAAAGGGGTTCTTCAACGATTGGAACTATTATCTTCAATAAATCAACGCCAACCATTTGGTTCAATTAGTACATATAGTAAACCTCAAGCTGACTGCATAATGTTGTTAGACATAGTATAAATATCAAACCACGGAGCAATCCCTGGATCAGAGCCTGCTAGAGATAAGGTAAGGAATGTTCTTGGCCTCGTAGAGATCTTTGTGCTCAGACTTGATAATATCCGCGCCCTAAATGACGTGTCAGCTTTCTTTGTACTGGAATCCCGGAAACTTGGCACTGACCTTTTCGCCAATCATATAGACTGAATTTTGAATACGACAATCAGGGATCACAGGAATGACAGAAGCATCTGCAATCCTCAGATTGCGCACTCCATGAACTCGCAACTTTGAGTCAACAACACCCTGGTGAATACTCTTTGACAGACGTGCCGTACCGCATGGATCTAGAAAGTCAATTATTAAATTCGTTTCGGAAAATTTGAAGGGGTCATCATACGGAATCCAGTCTGGCTGCGATCCAGAACAGCCCGGTTCATATCTTCGTCGGAATGAAGGGGCATCTTCCAGGGGTATTCGGAGACAACAATGTCCTTGAATCCAGCACCCTTGGTCAAAAGATCATATGTCCAGCGCACTCCCTCCCTCATCGCCAGGATGTCCAAGTCATTGCCAAAGAAGTTGAGGTTGATGTTGGGCTGAACCTGTGCGTTCGAGCTGTTCAAAGTAACTTCACCCTCGGAAAGAGGCCGCAGCAGATCAACGATGATGGTCATGTAGCTACCCTTTTCAGGCATAGGGAAATGCCATTGGAATGCGGTGCTGAACAGGCTAACAAAGTCCAGCTCAAAGTGAGGTTGGCCTGCTGGGCCAAAAGGATCAAGTCCTCCGTTGGCGGCCTTAGCCTCGCGGTAGGCAGGGTAGTTCTCCAGACGTTCGTCAATCCGAGGGAAGCCCACGAGTTCCAGGAACCCGGAGCTCACAGGACCAGTCTTGTCATTCTGATAAGTGGACAAGGCTTTATCATTCGTAGGTCCGGGGCGGAGCACATGCTCGTCCAAACTGTACCCATCCTTGACCTGAAGAACGAAAGGCACGATTGGGTGATCAAGAAGATGCTGGCCGACATGAGGGGATTCCACGATGGGCGTGATTCCGTGTTTGGCAAATTCCGCTGCTGGGCCGATGCCGCTGAGCATGAGAAGTTTAGGAGTCTCAAAGACACCCTGAGACAAGATAACTTCTCGGCTGGCGTAGACGCTAATCTCCTGGTCAAGATTATCGCTTATCACAGTGACACCGAAGCAGACACGCGTGGCATGATCGATGATCAGCTTTTTCGAGCGGACGCCATAGAGGATTGTAACGTTAGGCTTGTCCTTCAGGTAAAGGTAGCTACCCTGGCGCTCTCCCTGGTAAATGGTGTCGACACAGTGGGTGAGACCCTTCATCTCACCAGAGTAGATGTCCTCTGTCAGCGGTTGGCCTTTGGAAACCCAGGCCTCAGTGAGCGCATCACGTAACGGTTTTATCTCCGGCACCAAGTCGGCATGGGAAATCTGCACAGGGCCTCCGGTTCCAATCTTGTTCAGGTCGGCCGGATACACCTTTTCATCGTCGTGGTAGGTCGCGCACTTGCGTAGGTACTCCACGCAGGAATCCCAGTTCCAGTCGCGGCCACCGAAGGCCTCCCAGTCGTCAAAGGTAGGTTTTGAGCCAGGAATCCAGGTAAAATAGTTGGCGCATGAACTACCACCAAGGGCCTTTCCTCGAGTGTTGGGCTTTTCAACGCGCTCGTAGTCCTCGCGCTTGATCATGGTTGTTTTGTATGACCAGTCATACTTGCTTCCACGGAGAGTGAAAGCTTTCGACGGGGTGGTAATCTGTTCGATTTGATCGGGGTTGGGGATGCCCGCTTCGACCACCAGAATGCGGACGTCAGGGTTCTCAGCAAGGCGACCAGCAATTGCATTGCCGGCGGTACCACCACCGACAATGATGAAGTCGTATTCAGAGCCGTTGGAAACAAAGGCCATTGCGGTTGGAAAGAGAATCGCTGAAAAAAGGATTTCTTCAATGTCGTTGTGACTGTCTATGTGGTGTGGATGCAAAGAGCAGCAACCAACGAGGCATCGCGTCAGTTTTATATACACTCTTCATGGCAATAATTCAGAACGGACTTGCCGATTGTACCGGGTTGCAAGGAATATTACGCTAGAGTGACACTTGAAGCTTGAACCGGTAGGGCTGATGGGGCTTGCATGCTAGTTGGAGGTGTTCTAGAAGGTCAGCTCTGCCAAATGACGATTCATTTTTGACCCCTCATGAGGGGAAGCCCGTTCCCCGCACGGGTGGTTGTGTGGCCGGCAATAACTCGGTCATGACTCGGTCACCGCCCAGGAAAAAGCAAGCTTTGAAGTAAATTGGAGCATGTTGTGACATACAGGTCATTTTGACTGTATCCGTGGATATGATATTAGAGCTATTCCCGATGATTCGTGTTGTTGCTTTTCCCCCTCATGAATGAGACATTTCAAATCCTTTGGTTTCGTTTCTACTCACGTCACAATGTGATGGCCTTGTCTCCGACACGATTTGGAGTCTCCGTTACGGGGGATAGTTTCAAGGTCTTGATGGACTGTTGAAATGTAGCCAAATAAAAGCCAGGCGGTTTCCCGTTTGCCGAAAGGTAGACCATTCGTATCATATCCATCGAGCATTTCGAACAAACAATCTCCAATGCCGAATCATACCTTTACGTTGGCAGAAGGTACCGTGCCAAAGATATCAAAACTACGTGGAAATTCTGACACCAAAAAGGCCAACCGATTGCAGAACCATCCGTCAGCACCACACTACCTACCTTTGGCGGCGGCGGCCTCACGACACTAGGTGATACGCTTCTCATTGAGACACTCGCGCATTTTAGTCGCGAACGTATCCCTGAAAGGTCCCGGATCCTTTAATCTGCTTTGCGAAAGAGTCAAAACGTCCTAACATTAAACAGAGTTGTCCATGCTAAAGCCGCGGGTGCTTGGGGAGAATTTGAGGTTACCAATAACATTTCTTCCCTCACGTCGGCCAAGTTCCTCAATGGTGTTGGCAAGAAAACCCCCGTTCTATTCCGTCTGAGCACCACCGGCGGTGAAAAGGGAAGTGCAGACACTGTCCGCGACGTGCGAGGCTTTTCTGTCAAGTTCTTCACCGAGGAAGGCAATCATGATATTGTAGGAAACCACATTGTAAGTGTTCACCCTTGACTCTCACGCTTCCATTCTGATGTCCCTCAAGCCGGTGTTCTTTGTTCGCGATCCTATTAGGTTTCCATCTCTCAACAGAAGCCATAAGAGACATCCAGCTACCAACCGACCGGATTGGACCATGGTGAGTGCTAAATAATGCTGTTACATCGCCGATGAAGCTAACCGTTTAGTTCTGGGATTTCCACACGAATCAACCGGAGAGTGTCCATGCTTTGATGCACCTTTTTGGCTCTCGGGGTATTCCTGATTCCGTTCGTCGAGTGACTGGCTTCGGTGTACATACTTTCAAAATGGTCTCAACTGGTGGTAGCTTCCGTTACTGCAAGTTCCACTTCCGGCCAACGCAGAAGATCACACACTTCTCTTGCCAGGAAGCTATTCGTATGGCTGGCGCAAATGCAGATTTCCACAATCAGGATCTATGGGATGCGATCGCTCGGGGAGACTTACCGGTCTGGAAGCTTTATGTGCAGGTCATGGAGCCCGAGCAGGCTGAAACCTACGGCCGGGCTCTGTTTGATATCACAAAAGTTTGGCCCCATAAGGACTTCCCCTTGATCGAAGTCGGCCAAATGACTCTTAACAAGAACGTGAGTACTCCTTATCTCATACACAAAGCAAGTGCTAACATTATCCCCAGCCGGAAAATTATTTTGCTGAGATCGAGCAAGCGGCGTTCTCACCTTCCAACATGGTGCCTGGGATTGCAATGACCCCTGATCCAAGTAAGTCTAAAACACTGTTGTCGCCAAATAATGACAGCAAGCTAATCATTTTAATCCGTACAGTGTTGCAGGCGCGCATGTTCGCTTACCCCGATGCTCAAAGATACCGCCTGGGAGTGAACTACACTCAGCTTCCTCCAAACCGTGCAATCTGCCCTGTATATGCCCCATTCGAGCGTGACGGCATGGGAACTTTCACCCGGAACTATGGCGGTGATCCGAACTATGTACGGAGCTCACTAACCCCTGGCGTGCCCAGCCAAACTGTTTCTGACGTACGGCACACCGAGCGCATCGCAAATAACGCCGTTCTCGGCCAGAATGAAATTCTAGTTGATGATGAGGACTTCATTCAGCCGCGCGATCTATGGAACAAAGTTTTCGATGAGACCGAGAGAAGGCAGTGGGTGTCAAATGTGTCGGAGACTTTGGAAGACATGCCTGATCAACTCAAAGATGCTGTCAGAGCTATGTTCAGCAAGGTCGATTCTCGTATTGGTCAACTGTTAGACGACAAGGGTAAGAACAATTCACGTCTTTAAGACTTTGATTCAGTGTCTTCGGGAGCTTGATTCGATTTCCGGAACCGGTTACAGTCGCAATTTGGGATTTGTTGGCTTGATGCTCTCCACTTAATCTTCATGGCCTTAGCTGCGAAGTGTTTCTGATAATAACTGGCCTTTCACATTTTTCCACTCAACATCAATTGCTATATTTCTCACCTATTCACAGCCTTCGTGATTATTGATTGGTATTTTCATAACGAATACCAAGCTCGGATTATATTTGAGTGTTGTGTCTCTGCTTGAGATTGTGATTCATCATATTGCTCTCGCCATTTGGATGATTTATCAGGAGGTTTTCATGTCTACCTAGGTAGGTAGCGTTGATTTTTGAGTCTATGGGTGTAAATGTATATACGTAAATATAGAAGTATATTGCTTTTCTATTCTATCTACGGAGTACTCCGTACAGAGGGAAGGCCTTTCTGTGGCTTTGGATGAACATTGAGGTCGGCGTAATGTTGAGCTGACGTACTGTTCGTCCGTCGGTCCAATGTCCATTCGATATCCCGCTTTCAACAGGTAGTTAATGTAGTTAACATTCATCTGTAATATTGCCCAATCAATTTGGTACCGGCTGAGAGCCTGGGCAGTTCTTTATGATGACCAATGTTAGCTACCTCGTGCTGTAAGTATTCCCCTGCAACGAGCTTCGGGGGTAATTATCCGCTATGCTTTGAAGAATGTTTGAAAAGATACGAAAAAAGAACACTAGGAAGATGGATAAAAGGTGTGTAAAAAGCGAGAGAAAGGCTGTCAAGAAGGTAATGTTCAACTGTGTCGCCGGACTTTCTAGATGGGATGTACACAGATGCATACCAGCTCCTCTGTATAGTAGAGCAGGTATTTGGTCGGCGTTAGGCTAATTCGGACTGGGGTTAGGTAGTTTTACTATGGGACCTGCACCACATTGTAGTCAACTGGAGATGGCGCCTTTGATTGGTTCAAATGGCAAAATAGAAGCAAACGAGCGCAAGATAGCATATTTTAGCCTCGCTAACGAAAGCCAGGTTACATCTATGAGAGCGGCACGAAGTGATTTCATACAAACCAGTCGCCGCCCTGAGTATAATATACAACTCGAGCTGGCTCATCAACGGGAGGACTAGCGGGCCAAGTACACAGCTTGGTTCATCATATTTATACGAAGCGTTCGCCTCCTTGAGACCGTAACAAGATTATATATGGTCCCAAGTGTTTCCAAAAGATTAAAGGACGCGAAAATGCGTTATCTTCCATGACCCGCGAACAGCTCGAGTAAACTACCTTTTTAATGACAAGTAAAAGTCAAAGTTTGAGAATTCAGATGTCATACAGTAGAGGTGTGCCAGAAATCAGTTTCACGTTCCAGAATCGAAGTTGACTTTAATCTCACTTCCACCATAAGCCTCATGCACATATACTCACATCCAAGAATCAACTGAGACGATATCACCTTATACTCACTTCATCAGATCAAGGTATATTGGTAAGAGCCTTATGAAGTCACAAGAAGTCAATGGACAAAGACAAACACAGCTGATATCTTAGAAAAGGCTGACTCTCAATGATCCCAGGCCATAGCAGCCAAAGAGGTAGGTCATATGAGCTTACATCACTCAATGGCTCAAAAAGAAGATTGTGTTAACAGTTTAACAGCAAAATGGAACTAGGAGAGGCAAAAGAAGCCCCGGCTTCAATCATCGAACATCCGCCCAACGGGCCGGAAACCGAAATCAAATACCCCGACCCAGTATATGGCGCCTTCGGGGAGACAGAGAATGGACCACTCTTCTGGGCGAAACGGGCGCAGGAAGCCCCATGGGGGAGGTGCTTTAACGCACTGCATACAAAAGGCAGTCTGCTTCACCGTATGGTAGGCATGACTTTGTTGCGGGAGCCAATGCTGCAGAGGAACTCGAAAAACAACAAGCGCAAAACGGTCGACGGGGAGGCCTTCAATGGCCAGATTGCACAGTTTTTATATACGGCCGAGGCGTTATTAGCTCACGCTGTGGGGGAAAGGCTTCCTACCGACCAGGCTTGCACAAGCTGCAAAAAGCGCAATGGAAAATTCGTTTCATGCGTTTTGGTTCCTGGGCAGTCACACTGCACCAATTGCTTATGGCCGAATCAAACGGACCGCTGCAAGTTTGAGACAAGCACCGAATGTGTCCCAAATCGATGTACCAAGACACGGAAAAGGAAAATCGAGAACAAACCACACGAGGGGGGTATGCAGGCGAAGAAACGCCGAGATTTAGGTGAACTGGACATCATTATCACCAGTATGGAGTGGATCGTATGCCACCAGAGAGAAGTACTCGAGGCCGGGGAGGAACAGCTACGCAAGATGAAGGCATATCGTCAGCAGACCGCGGAGGAGCCAGACTTTTGAATCACTTATGATATAGGAAAAGCAAAATAGAACGAGTTGATGCCATCATCACCATGAGACCCAGCCATAACTGTCGGTAGGATTGTAGTCGTTGTAGCCTAGGCGAGCAGTTAAATCTTGTGAAGAGTTGGGGGAGACTGGGGAAGAGTTGAGAAAAACTTGGGAAGAGTTGTGAAAGCACACCCGACATATTACTAATACTCTAGGGAAGGTTTAGAAGAGCCGGTATAGTGTTGCCGTTTAAGCTGCGGGGCCTATGCACACATCCATGGATTACTTATGTATATACCAGGTAGTATTCCGTACCTCTGACGATTTACAGCTTCCATCCTTTTCAAGTTCTCACTCGATCATTTTATCCGCAAAGGCACCTTCAACAGCTTTACAACTTTCCATCATAGGCGTACGTTCCACGATAGGGAGCAAAATGTCTGGCCAGGAACAGAATGATAATAAGGAAGGCGCCATCGTGGCTGATAACGGTGATGGGATTCTAACCTCTGGTTCTGTACACCCTTTTCGCTCTTCAGTCCTCCATCAATCCAATCCAATGCTGCCGACTCGAGCACTCGCCATACAAGCCCGACGTTGTGACTCTTCATCGGATTCTACGAACTCAACGTTATCGTCGATCGGTTTGGACTCTATCTCCACGTCGTCCGCAGAACTATCATCCGCATCGTCACCCGAATCCTGGGCTGACTGCTTCAAACAAGCCACTCTTGACACCAAATCTAATACTCTCATCAACCCGTCCGTACAGTTGATCAAGAAGGCCATCCAATCGATCCAAGACGCTCAGGTACCGAGTTCAACCATGAATCCAAACTATCTATACGTACGGAACCTCGATGCAAACATTGTGAGCCAGATCCTAGGAGAGGAGCTATCCTTTCATGGAGTTAGGATGACTCTTGACCACCGGCAACATCAAATGATTCTCAAAATTATGCCATACGTACAACTCGAGCAAATTGCTTCCTTTTTCGCATTGCACATCACCCATGAGATGGAGAAAATGGGCCTCTTCATGGAACAAGGTGACTGGATTGCACGGGGATCAGGGAGGGTCTTTGGTGTCTCGTCTATAAAGGAGCCAGATTACTCCTTCTATCCGGACAATGTTTTCGACTCAAAGGGCGGGGGCATGAAATACCCGACACTCACTCTTGAAGTTGGGGTTTCAGAATCATATAGACAACTACAGGGAGATTCCCAATGGTGGGCTGCCAACACTTCCGGTCGTTGCTCTCAAGTCTTCCTCATCAAGGTCAGACGACGACCGGTTTGGAGAGTAGACTTCGAGGTCTGGAGGCGGGTGCCAAACCCTCTTTCTGGCCCAAGAACTCGAGCCCGTCCCGAAACCGTTTTCCAGCCTTGTCAGCACGCCTTCCTTGAGAATGGTGTAGTTCACGGGGCGCCACTCATACTAGATTTTGAGATGATGATGGGTCGCCCTCCGACAGGCTCTAGGGAGCGTGATATTGTGTTTGGCTCAGCAAATCTTACATTGATCGGAACTGAGGTCTGTCGTTGAGCATTTTATTTATGTATTTTTGCTTTACTCCCTTTTTTCAATTCTGTCTATTACTACAATAATATTAAAGTAATGCCTCTCTTTTTCGCTTTCATTATTAGTGATATGATTTTCAAGTTATAGTTTAGGCTATCAGTATTTTTCTTTTCTAATAATATTATAGGCAAGTGGAATCATGATCTCTACGCTGTAAATTCAAGATAATATGGATAAATTGTGTTGTTGCTATGTGAATCAATGATTGTAATTGGAAGAGAAGAAATGCTGTAAGCTTTCCCTTACGCGCAGCGGGAACGAAGATCCTCCACATCTTCTTTGATACTGTTTGACTTGAATGTGACGGCGTCGGTGGTGGACTTCACACGCGACGCGGTGTGGATCGTCTCCTGAAGAGAGTTTCGGATACGGACGACGTCGTTGCGCCGAACAGGCAAGGTTTGGTCAGCGCGGGACTGGACATCCTGCAGGGCGGTCGAGGCGCTTTCTGCTGCGGATTCGTGGTCGGCAATGGCGGCGGCCTGGCGTTCCTGGAGGATTGATAGCTGATGTAGCTTGGTAGCCAAGCTATCAAGACCTGCCATCATCTCAGCTCGAAGGTGCGTAGCGGACGCGGACGAAGACACAGTGGTCACCATACCCCCATAGACTCCAGCGTTAGGCACGCTGACTGGCTGACTCTGGCCGTGGTGGAGGATCGTACACTTCCCACCCTTTCCACCGTACATGCAGTTACCACAAGACTTGGGAAATCCGGGCTCATCAACAACCACACACAGAGGAAAGATTCCTCGCCCCGCCAGGCAGTGGTCATAACGCACAGCTGTCTCAAGTCTCACCATCTGAACAAAAACTGCCTCAACATTGTGGACGTTTGATCCTAGGTCCTCGTTCCAGCGCTCAGGCTGAAGGCCCATTGTAGGTCGGACAACTGGCTCGCGTATCTTCACCTGAAGTATCAGGAACTTGACGAACACGGACTTGACAAGGTCCCCTTCCTTCACAACAGACCAAGGTAGACGTGCGATATACTGCGCCCAAGGTCCAGGTCCAGGAACCGGATCGCCTGGCTTCAGGATCGGCAGGCTAGAGGGAATGCCGGGGACACTATAGAACTAAATCCTAATCAGTCTAGCTCTAATCACAGTTAATCAGATTGATAATCTTACCTTCCAGGATTCATGTTGCCTGAGTTCATCGATGCGTTAAGAGTCAAAGTATCTTGGCTTAGATGAGCCGATGGATTCGGGTGTACAGTGGAGAGGAAAGGAGGAGTGGGGATGAAAGGAGGAAGAGAAAGAAAAAAGAAAGTCGGATTGAAGTACTTCAACGTGATAGCAGCACCTCAATAACAATGCGTCAATAACAATGCCTCAATAACAATGCGTCAATAACAATGCCTCAATAACAATGCGTCAATAACAATGCGTCAATAACAATGCCTCAATAACAATGCCTCAATAACAATGCCGTTCAATCTACTTGTTTTCTCTCCTTTTTAAATGTTATTGTTTTTCCTGCTAGAACGGAAACGGAGATATCAGACATGTACCTAATTTCAAAGTTATTATATATACGTACATAGGTAGCCACAATGGATCGAGCCTTCAACTTTGGAAATTAGCTACAACGCTTGTTATGTTTATCTCGACACTATAAAAAAACAAAAAAAAAAACAAAAATTGAATTCACCGAAACCTTATTAATAATATGTGAAGTAAAGCAAAAGAAAATCGCTTGCTCTTGAAGACCATTTCCACTCCACAAACATTTCAGAGCCGCTTCATACTTTCGATCAACGCATCACGGTCGTCAGGATTGGTATCTCGAATATCCGCCCCAAGGATCATACCCGCCTGTAGATTACGAGACTCATTGGCTGAATCCTCAAAGGTCTTGTTCGTAACAAACTCATCAGGCAGCTCACATCCCGAGACACAACGAGCGAGGGTCTTGAGGGTGGACTTATTCAAATATTCACCACCGGACGGCCAGAATCTTCGAGCCTCCACCTTTTCAGTTATATCACTGAGTTTCATTCGCTTGGCGTTGAGGTAGGAGATTAGGAAACGGAAATAGAGGTATCTTCGGCGAGGGCGATTCTCAGAAAGGAAACTCAAACGGCGTTCATCAAGGTGCTATGTAACTATTAGCCTGTACTCTTCTATTTTAAGCGGAATAGACCGACCTTAACCTTGATGATTTCCCCTGTCTCTCTCTTGTAAACAAAGTTTTCGTTCTTCGACTCGTCCAACACAACACATCTCCACGTGGTTGGCTCAGTTATCGCGCTAGGAATTGGAATGACAGCAATTATGCCTTGGTCTAGTAGGGATTCAATGGGCTTGTATAGTAACAATGCTATTAGAATTTTCGTTAGCTCATTCTCTTCTTAAACGAAAAGGGTATTTTTACCATTGCGTGGATCAGAGAGCACACCGTCCTGAACTCCGAAAATATGAGACACTTCTGCTTGGCTCAAGGAGTTAGGCACCAGATGAGCTGCCTTGACTGAAGGGGCGGGTAGGAAAAATCCGAGAACGTGACAGAAAGATGTCTCTCCCACATTCTCGGTCGGCAAGGCGTAGTATCGATTTACTTCCTTCTTGAATGTTTTCTGGTCGAAGGCGTTTTTCTGAATCTTTGCAGCCGCGCCCATAACACGTGGAATAATGGTATCCACGTATGCCCTCTCAACAAGCCCATCATCTAAGGGCCCGGCGATCCTTCTGCGCTTGACCTCCACTTCTAAGTCTTCCTCGATCAATGTCGGTTGGCGCTTAAGCACATCGAGAGTCTGCGTGGTTGTTCGGAATCTTCTCAAGACAGGATCGATCTCTCTCTGGAACGCATCAGAACTGAGAAGCTCTGCAGACAAAATCTCATCAAAGCCCTGTTTGATGCAACGAATATACTCCGTCTCGTCCTCAAGCGCAGCGATTTTAACGTCAAGAAAGTTCGATGTGGTTGACTGCAACGACTCTTGCGAAACTTGAGAAAGCTTTGATGAATTGCTGATGGATCTCTCCTGATGACCACGCAAATCCTGACGGCGCTTTGCTGGCATCAGAGAAGAAATTCTCTCGGGAACTGGGAAAGGGATTCTATCTGACATGTTGAATGATAGAATAAATGGTGATTAAAGAGGATATTGATTAATGAAAGCAAAGACAGAAAGCAGAGAAAGAAGAAGAAGAGAGGGTAGAATAGAAAGAGAGTTGTCAATGATTTCAGAACCAGGTCAGTGCCATGTTCTCTTCCTAGTGTGCTCTTCCTATTACGGTCACATCTCATTAATTTGTACCTCAAATTTTTGTAAACCTTGGTAATTTGTAAGTAATTTATGCCCCCAGACTTTTTACATAGTTAACAATGCCAAGTCCCCCTAATTAGGCCTAGCTCCCCTCACCTTTCCAAACTTTTCTTTACAAACTGGTCTTCAAGGCCTACCGCCCACGTGACTACAGCTATTCCACTCAGTTCATTGGCCAAACAATCTCTTCCGCCTTTCAAGTCCATATTCTGCCGTTTTTATACACCCCTAAAATGATATTATATAGTGCAAAAATCAGCCTTACATAACCCAAAAATTATTAAAGGGAATAAGTAACGATAATACATAGCCTCGCGGGTATAAAATAGAAAAGGACCTTACTTTAGGTCACGGGCGAGCTAAACCGTTAAGTAGGAGCCCTCGCCAAGCTTCCGGATAACCTTATACTAGCGGTTAAAGACGTCGCCGAGAACGACTAGATGATAACTTGATAGAGATGATCCTGTACGACTACTCATAAAAAGGAGTGGACTGGAAAATCTTATATTGAGTTGCGTGGAGAGAGAAAAGGAAGAAGAAGGAAAGCTAGCTAGACTAATGTACTAGGAGATCACGTGTTCGCAACATAACTACCTAGGCGGTAATCCTCCATCTACTCATAGGGTAATATAATGGTTTTAAATCTCCGTTCCTTATGTATTAGGGCCCTTGATGGCGGAATGGAAGGTGAGATACTTATGGCTCGATGGAGCTGCGTTTAAGAGCCGCGCGGAATGTTTTATAAGATGGTCCCTGAACACAAGGCTCGGAGCTTATTACGGAACACGCGTCATGGCGCGTGTTGATTTTATTTCTAGCGGTCGCGTGTCATGGGGTGAAACTAGGTGTTTATCACTCTATCTATAGTGCACTCACCCTTATCACCCCCGCGACCGTAAAGCGGCACCCATCTATTTCTCGCCTAATATGCGCTGAACTACTTTTAGGATTATGTTTAATGTTTCTCTCCACTCCTAAGTCAACTACATACGACCATAGGGCATGGAAAACAGGGCTTCCCGTCCGCTTAGCCGTACCTAAGCCACACGCCGGTGAGTTAGTAGTTAAGTAGGTGACCACCAACGAATCCTCACTGTTATATGTTTTTGTTTTTTTGCCGTCTCAAATATGTTATGAAAGGAAGTGTGTGTAAAAATCTATAGTGTAGTTAGTCTATTTAGCTGGATTAGGTGGCCAATCGTAGCCCTAGTAGGTGGCTAGTGCTATGATATGGTTTCCGGATAAATCTTACCCTTAGACCTCCGCACCAGCCCGCAAAGCCCAAAGCCCAACCCGCCCCAACCCGCAAATGGGCTGGGCTTTGGGCCCGGTCTCTAGGCCTATCGGTGGCTATGGGCCTAGGGTAGAAGCCCACTAGGCTTTTATAGGGGCCTAATAGGCTTCAAACAATACAAATATACTAGTTCTTAGTAGATATATAAGTAATATATATTTTTCTAGTATTTCTAGGTATTTAGATTACCCCCTAAATTGACTATAGGTGCCTAAATTAACTGAATTGACTAAATTAACTGAATTGACTAAATTAACTGAATTAACTAAATTATATTAGGACCGGCGTACTAGCGGGTCCTAGTAGGTAATATAGAACTAGAGTGAAGGAATAGTAGGGTACTAGTATATTTATAAACTAATCGCTAAAGAGCTAAGTTCCCCTAGTAGTCTCTATATAGATAACCTTTAGCGGGTCACGGGACTAGGTCACCTAACCCGGTAGGACTTAGTCTCCCTAGTGTAGTCTCTAGCGGGGGGTTATACTACCCCTACTAGGTTACGGGTTCTAGGTCATAGGACTAGGCGGGATCTAGCCTATAAGGCACTCTCCTAGTAGAGGGTCGTAATATTTCCCCCCTCCTTAAAGAGTTACGTCCTTATAGCTAAGGGTCGGGGGTCGAGGGTCTCTTATAGTTAAGGTAGGGAGGGTTCGAAAATAGTATATATATCTAGCTATCTAAAAGAGGGTAATTTATCTTTATAGTAGAAGGTATAGTTAGACTCGGAGCTTTAAGCGTTATCTCTCTTCGTCGCGTATAATCTAAGTTCTTTATATATTTTTCACTTATCTCTCTTCGAGTTATAGCTTTCTTCTTCCTACACTTCTTTATTCTTTCGCTGTTAAGGCAAGTGGGCCTGACACCACTGCAAAACGTAGGAAGTAATGGTAAGGTAGAGCGTTTACTAAAAGAGCCACTATGACGACCAACTGGTCGTCATGTTAGGTTACCAACCTAAATACCCGATATGTACTATAAGATATGCGCACCGTATTCGTACTCCGTACGTTGGGTTGTAACATTATCTCCCCTCTTTCTGATGCCTTGACCCCGAGGTATAAGGAAAGCATAGAATATCTATAGGCAGCTTGAACGGTATGATTACCGTGCTGATAAGATATCGGTGTGTGTATTTTAAGTTGTAGACCCCTAAGTGTATATCTAGATCTAGCGCGGGGCTATTTCTATGATATTCCTTGTAAAGACCGTAGACTCGAATTTGATATTGATTTAATATCTGTATGTCTCGAACCTAGGGTCTCCGAAGTTAGTCGTCATATTATTAAGGTAAGTGGGCCTGACACCACTACAAAACGTAGGAAGTAATGGTAAGGTAGAGCGTTTACTAAAAGAGCCACTATGACGACCAACTAGTTGTCATATCAGGTTACTAACCTAAATACCCGATATATGCTATAAGATATGCGTACCGTATTCGTACTCCGTACGTTAGGTTGTAACATTCGCTATAGCTTTTTCGTCGTTTCGCTTTTCTTCTTATAGCTTTTTATCGTCTCGCTTTTCTTACTATAGGTTATTTCGACTTATTATAGTAGCTTCTTTTCCTCCGGTCGC